CGAACTATATCCTTGATTACGCGGCCGAATAAAGCTGTGACCGAAGTCGGATACGCGCGAAGTCGACAAGCCGAGCGGGGCTGATTTATTTTCGCGCGATATCTCCCGCTGCTCGTCCAGTATGGATCGGAGCGTTTCACGTTCGCTCTTCGGACCAATCGGCACGATGTTACCGAGCAGCGATATAAAAAGATCGCGGTATATGTGCTGCGCAGACGAGAGGACTTTCATCGAAAGTCACGTGACGCGTGCAAAAAAGCTCGTCCCGATCATTCGGCTTCTTCGTGCTCGCTTACGACTGACGCGGCAACAACAATCCCCGTCCTGAGCGACACATTGTTGTCGCACTTGACGTTAAAGAGCGTCTCGAGTCGACGAGGGGAAACCCCGTTGACCTGCCCGACTGCGAATCTTTTCCAAATTTCTGTTTACTTTGTAGCGAGCCGTCTCGCTGCCGAGAGGCGCTCTCGAAGGCGCAAGGTCGTGCGGGATCCCTTTGAGGATTCAGATCCGCCCGGCGAGATAGGAGCCTACGAGGTTCGTTTTCAGGATCCTCTCGACTGGTTTACCGGATGGTTTGAGAAAAATATCCTGCTACTTCGCCGAGCGCCATTGTCGCGTCATAATGGGGCGAGCTCTCGACACAACCCGAATTCTCGCCGGTGAATCCGCATAATCACCGTCGAGACGCTAGTTGTATCTAGTGTCTTCCTTCCTTCACGGGTTACTCCGGGAGAAGAAAAAAGAGAGAAAACCTGCGCGTATCTTCTCGCAGCCGTTTTCACGCCTCAGGGGTCGTGTCGCCTCGGAGTTTGTCTTCAGACTTTGTGCTGGGAACAATGGCACGTGTCTCGTGCCTATTGTCCCCGATGCATTTCTCCGTCTCGGCGTCCCGCGAGAGCGAGAAAATTTGTCACACAAAAGTCTCAAGTGATCGTGCAAATATACGGGAAGAATGGGACCGGGCAGCGAATGTGACGCAGTTTTCCGCGGTAAAACGCGGAGCGACCAGCAAGATCGGCGTGTGCGAATAAATACAATTTGAGACGAGGCGGAAAGAAAGCGCGAGATTCCCCGGAGACGACAATCGCACCCGAAAAAAGTATTCTATTGGCAAAGTGATTTTTCTCATAGTCTTGTATTCTGAGCGAAGCCTTTTACGGAAAAAGGATTCCTCTTTCGATGAAACGATTAAAGTGAACCATTCATCTAAAATTTATTAGATATTATTCCAACTATTTTTCTCTTATTTCAAGAGGATTTCTTCTTACTCATCAATTAATTTTCCTCTTATATGAAGAGGAACATGTTGATTTGAATGTCGGTTTCTTTTGTTCAGTCATGCTCTACCTCCAGACATGAACGAAAAAATAATCATATGCTCATGGGACAGCATATTTGGAACGCATTTTAAAAAAAGTATCTTGCTGTGACATATAACGAAGATAATTTACCCACATTTGGTCAAATACAGTTTATAATCTATTGCGAGAAGTTGAATAGTATATTCTTTCTTTTAACTATGTTTCATACAATTGATTATAATGAACATCTTTGCAGCTATAAAGTCCATAACAAAACTGATTGGAAATTTGTTTATTATGATAATCTAATTTCATTCGTGGCTATTTATTGTAGAATTGGAACCAGAAGTATATCTATATACAAATTACTTTTCGCTGTACATTATAATAATTCTTTCGAATTAACTAGTATAACCAGCAAGAGTAAAATACAGTAAGAGTAAATAATAATCCTCTTAAGAAAAGATGAAATAATCTGTGTATAAGAGGAAATTTATATTAAAATCAATAAGCTTTGCATTATGCATATAACATATAATCGCTTAACTTTAACTTTTCTAAATCTTTAACTTTAAGAATAATGTGCTTAAAATATTGTCCTCTTAATCTTAGAAGAATCCTTTTGAGGCCAAGTTATAAAATCCTCTAAAATTTAGATGCTTGTTTTGAAATTACTTTTTTTTGGGTGAGGATCTCGCTCCGATAAGAGAGAGATGCGCTCGTTCTTGTTGAATGGCACACGCTCGCAGCGTCCGCACTGAAAACACGGTCTCGGCGGATTCTCGCGAGATGCGCGGCCGATGCAGTGCGGCGTAAGGTGCAACGCACGTGCACACCGTGACATTCCAATCGTGACTTGCAATCTGCATTTGTAACTTCGTAGCCACTCCGGAGATGTCTGATCCTTCGCGCTTAGTCCGCTTTTAACGGCGCACGTGTGACGAATGGAGAACTTGCTGAGCAAAGGCGCTCGCTCGAAAACGCGATAATTACCGTACCGTTAGCTCATGTTTGCGTAAGTACGGAAACTTTTTCCGTCTCGGGGCACACGAGTGCATTTGTTATATCTCGTGTCACCTTGCTCGATAGGCAAAGAGAAAGAGAGAGAGAGAGAGAGAGAGAGAGAGAGAGAGAGAGAGAGAGAGAGAGAGAGAGAGAGAGAGAGAGAGAGAGAGAGAGAGAGAGAGAGAGAGAGAGAGAGAGAGAGAGAGAGAGAGAGAGAGAGAGAGAGAGAGAGAGAGAGAGAGAAAGGAAGCACGAGGACTTCCAAGTGTCAACTCCTCACGCCGGTCGAAGCAAGCGAAACAAACAAATTGTCGCGAGTTCGCGATTTTCGAATCGAAAATTATATTTTACTCAACTTGTGCAACGTAATCTGTCGCATCCGACTGACCGAGATATTCGACCGATGAGACGCGCGTCACAATTCTTTTAACACCAAAAGAGGAAAAATATCTAAAAGATAAAAAAGTATCTTGAAATAATAGAATAAAAAATATTTATTCCCAGGTGTTAATATGTTTTTTTGAGTCTCCCCCTTTAGCAAAATAAACGCCCAAAAAAAGGTATTCTATTTGTAAAGTGATTTTTTCGATAATCTCATATTCTAAGTGAAGCCTTTTACAGGAAAAGGATTTCTCTTTCGATAAAGCGATTAAAATGAACTATTCATCTAAAATTTATTAGATATTATTCCAACTGTTTTCCTCTTATTTCAGGAGGTTTTCCTCTCATAGCAATTAATTTTTCTCTTATACCAAGAAGAACGCTTGGCGTTTTTACTCTTCCATCTACAAAGACACTCTCTCTGTGCATATGACGATCGTCGCCACATTTTATAGAGAACGTCTAGAGCAAAGAAAAAAGGAGAGAGATCGTTATTCAGTTTATATTGTTTTTCTCAGTTGTTTCATCATGAATAAAGTTCAAGAATTTTTGGAGGAAATTTACTTAAAGACATACTGATCCATATTTCAGAGTAAGTACACACGTATATCCATTTATCATATCGCGTTCATACCACTATCGTATCATACTACATTAAATGTCACTTAGAGTACTTAAAATTGCAAATTTATGTTTTTTTCTATTTTCTCAACAGAAAGTAAAAGAATTTAACTGGAATTTTTTCCGAACAGTTTCATAATAATTTTCTCTTCTTTCCTTATAAAGGAATGTACAACCAGTAAGAATAAAATATAGTAAGAATAAATAATAATTCTCTTAAAAAAAAGATTAAATAATTTGTAAGAGGAAATTTATATTAAAATCAATAAGATTTGCATTATACATATAACATATATAATTCCTCTAACTTTAATGTGTTTATAATATTTTCCTTTTAGAGGAATCCTTTTGAGACCATATAGAAGAGTAAAATCCTCTAAAATTTAGATATGATTCCGCTTATTCCGAAATTACTTTTTTTTTAGTGAAAGCTTGCGGACTGGGGAAGAAACGTATTTCCTCACTCGCGAAAAAATGTGTCGGCACGTTGACGTAAACATATACGTTCTTCATTATCAATACGCCTGAGTGTGGTCCTCTATCTGTTGTTTGAATTTTTTTTCTCTCGGTGCAGCACGCTTGTGTCCGAGCGATCGTGCCGATCGTGTCGCGCGTTTGCGCAAGGACACGAAATCGGAGGGAATTTTCTCTCTCTCTCTCTCTCTCTCTCTCTCTCTCTCTCGCGGAGAAAACGCCACGCCGCGGGCATTTCGTTCCGACGAATAAAATATGTTTGATCGATGACGCAGGAACGGGGGCGATATTTCGAAAGCGAGACGAAAGGCGAGGGCGACGGACGGAGCGCGAATCGGCCCCCGCGCTGTGCACAAAAGGCTCGCTCAAGTGCGACACGATCGAAAATGTGTCATTACCGCGCAAATTATGATCCGGCGCTTCCGCGCGCATCCAGCGCTCCCCGGGGATAATTGCCGTGAATTAGCAACGATCGATGGGCGACAGCCGGCCGGGAGATGTCGGCGGCGCGCCGCTAGTCGAATACCAATCTCGTTACGCTACATTTTTCGGAGCGTGAAAGTACGCAGGAATCCTCCAGCCAGGAGGCTCGGCGAAATGCTGGCTGCGTCGACGTTCGCTCGCCGCAAGGCAGAATTGCTTTCCTTTCGACGCGATCGTCCTTGTTAATGGACACGATTGTATGCGGCGAGGACAAAACACGAGCGAGACTGCATGTCAGAAAAGAAGGACGAAAAACATCGCAACGAGACGAGTCGAGATAACCTTGACGCTTTCCCGACGACTATCGACTCAGGATAGCGATTTCGCATGGTGGTGTCAATTCGCAAGTCGATCAGACGTCGAGACAAGTTCAGCCTTCAGTTTGGGGAGCAAAGTCGAGAGGCAAAAAGACCTCCCCGCGACTCGAGCTGTCTATCTCGACGGAAAGTTCGCGCAATATACACGGTTACCCTGGTTACAACAGCACCTCGTGCGCCGCTTTATAAAGGTTCATTCATTTCATTCACGACTCGGAGCGAGCGCAACACGCTCACTTTATCACCCTCAGATCGACTAATTCGCCGGCGAGGGGAAGCCCCCCCGGCTTGGAGGCATCGATCGGCCCCGATTTGCCGGCGCGCGAGCTTACACGCGAATTACAAAGTCGGAAGCGGCACGTGACGGCCGATTAAAACGCCAACGGGTGGCAGATTACAGAAGAGTTTTACTCACTCTGACAGCTGGCGGCCCCCAGAAGCGCGATGAGCAGCAGGATTCTCGTCGACTCCATCTTCCACGGCGCGCGATGTCTCAGCTGTCACAGCACACTTATCTACTCTCACTGTCCCTCCGTAAGTCCTGCCAGAAGCGCCACCGCCAGCACCGCTCAGCGATCAGACGACGAGGGCGCCAATACAAATCCGCGGAGATCCGAATCTGCGAGGAACGCGCAGAGGAAGCCAGCGCGCGCGAGCGAGCGAGCTTGCGCCAGCTCCGTTTCCTGCTCGCTCCTTCCTCTCCGCCGGTCGTCCTGTTCGCGCGGCGAAACGGAGCGTGCCCGGGCACTTTCCACGCCAACTTCACGCAGGAACGCCGCGAGCGAGGATACCGTTCGGCGCGCAAGCCGCCGACGATGACGACGACGCGCGGCGTCACACCGCTCTTCCCCGGTAACGGATCGCCTCCCTCGAGCGGGAGCACCCCTGGCTGACTTCTCTTCCTCCTCGTCGTCAGCTCGCGCGAGACAGAAGAGGCTCAACGGCCTCAGCTAATGCGTGCGAATCGCCGCCAGTGCCTCGCACGGGGATGAAAACGCCGAAGTCGCGGGATGCCGGTTAGCACGTGCTGTCTGTCGGTCGTGGCGAGAGTACGACCACGCGGCGCTGCGGCTCGCAGGCGAATGCCACCGAGAGAGCGTCGCTCGCTCTTCCGAGTTCCGTGTCGGCATAGGTGCGCGTCCGCTAATCCCCCTCCCGTTGCTGTTCTTCCGTCCGCGCGCGCGCGCGCCGTCGCCGCCGTTCTTCATTCGCCCGCTCGCTCGTTCAGTCGCGCGTCCGCGGCGCCGAACAAGCGCGTGTGCGGTCGGCGCGTCAATTATGTTTCAATCGGAGCCGGCGCGTCGCTCGACGCCTGTTCTCCTCGGCTGGACCAGAGAGCGGGCCTGGAACTTGGCTCTTTGGTCCTTTGCTTCGCCGCTCGACGAAGGCCGACTCGCTCGCGGCGGGAAATTCTTGCTTCAAGTTCAAAGGCAACTTTTCGAGGCTTTCGAGGTTCCTCTCAAGTCGTGGTGCTTCCAGCACCACTGGTGGAACTGGTGGAGCTTCCAACGAGCTGATTAATATTCCAGTTGTCGGGGCGGCGTAAAGTCACGAAGGCCTCTTGCCAGAAATTATGACACTCGGAGCGAAAGGCTGACTGGATTACCACAGTTGGCGCTTGTCTCGGGCGAACTTCGGGTTGAGCTTCTTCCCTCATCTCTTGAGCAATACTGCTTTTTACTCGATTGAAAATTAAACGACTCGCGTCTTATGAGAACCCAAGCGCCTTCCGGCTGCCTTGCCGTTCTCGGATGCTAATGGCGCTCTTTCCGAGCGCTCCTCGATATTCCTTCCGTTTTTTGCACTCTGCTTCTCCCTCCCGCCTCAACCGCGACTTCCGAGCACGTGTGAGGTCGGCGCATCGATTACGCCGGAGTCGATCTCCCGGAGCGATTACAGGGCGAAGGCATACAAGCTGACGATGCACGTCGTGGCTCTCGATAGAACAGCGACCGTATACTTGTGCGAAGTGCACGTCGGTTAACGCCGAAGTAAAGCATCCTCCATCGACCTGCGTGGACGACAATTTGAGATTTAGTTTTTTTGTCTCGATTAAAAAAGCAAGTCGGAGTATATTCTCTAAAAGCGATCGCGCATACCTATTATGGTCGCACAAGGTCTGCCAGGAGTGAAGAGCCGGGCGTGTTGGAGAGGTCTGCGGGATGATCACGAGATGATTAACAATGCACTCCGCAACCTGCAACCGCAACCAATAATCAGCGTCGCTCCGAATTTCGCGTGCGTTTCGCTCGCTCGTTTGGCAGACGTTTCGTTTCGTTTTGCGCGTGACGCACGCGGCAGATACCATAATTGCGAATTAATTCCAACGTCACGTTGCAATTAACCCGCTCCGTCGATATAGCTTAAGGTAGAGTTCGTTACATGAACGGTACGTTTTGCGTAACTCGTCGTTAATCAATGGAAATGGAATGCTTTAGTGTTTTATGTATATTCATGTTTTCATACGCGCAACTGTCGACAAAAAGCGGATTCTTCGGCGCTAGAATTACCGGCGACTGATGCAACTCATTTCCACCGACGAGAGGTTGGAAGGACAGGTTCTTGAGAAAAAAAAAAAAAAAGAGAAAAGAAGTTTTCCTTTTTCCAATTTCATTCAACGTCCGCCAAAAAAAAACACGCGCGAGTGACTTTTGTAAGAAATTATTAGGAGTGTAATTTAGTTTGAGAGTCTTTTTCTGAGATGAGAATTGATTTAACAAGATAATGAACGAATATTTCAATCAAAATATTTGCTTTCGTTTTTTACAACTTTTTCCCAGGTTTCTGACAGAAGATGGATTTCACGACGATAAAAAGATTCTTCGGATCTGATTTTCAACAAATTTCTGCACATTTAGGAGGCTCCATTTTTAAGATGCTACTAACACGATTTTTATTGCGTCTATTATTAGTAAATGACTAAATATCATGGATTAATATTAGAACATTAAGAAACAATAGCTGTGATTGGAATGTCTTCGACAAAACTGACATTAGCACCATCCATCTTGCAAAACGCACAAAACAAATCACACTCCTAATAGAAACCGTTCATCTCTTGTCTGTTTGGTAATTCTAGCGTTAACGTTCTTGAAAGAGATTCTCGGGGGTTTCCGTAGTATCTCGAACGGCAGACTGAATCTGCCGAGTTCGCGTTCAGACGTAACAAAGTTGGACGCACAACGCGAAGAATGAATGAACGGATCGGTGAATGAACGGACCGGACGCGCGCGTACAGGGGGGGATTCAGATTCCATTCCCATTCCGATCCTGCGTGCGCTTCCATTCTCGTCCCCTCAACCCCTTCAATGCGCCGTGAATGAACAACGGGATCCGGAATCCGTAAAAAGGATCCTCCCACGACCCACTGAATACTGTCGAACCCTTAGCGATCCTGCGCGCGTAGCGACGGGAAACAAATGTCGCCGTCTTGCCTCCGGCAGATCTTAACGCTTGACGCATAAATAATGCGGCTGCTATTTTATAGCTCCGTAGAAAATCATGCATTACGATCAGCATCGATAGGGATACTCATCGCCGGCTCCGAGGTAGCTCCACGGCCGGGCATTATATTTCCTTCGTGTCGGTAACAAGTTCATCTTAGGCGCAGCGAGATGCTATCTCGGCGCTGAACAGTCTATCGGCCGTAAATCAGCGTCTCTTGCCGAAATAGACCTCTCGAATATCTCACGGAGGAGCTTTGGAGGAGAAGCATGCGTAGCTTGTTAGTATTCGACGGGGAATCGCGTGTGCCGCGCTTACCGGGATTGAAATTCAAATCCGATAATCGTCGCAGAGAGAGAGAGAGAGAGAGAGAGAGAGAGAGAGAGAGAAAGAGACGGGGAGAGCAGGTTCTTCAGGTATTTATGATAAGTAGAAAACGCATACGAGAGATAGTCCAGCGGCTCGGAGCGCAATTACGAAGATCGATGCTCCCTTTCGTGAAACGAAAGTCCGTGTTTCTCACTGTGTTGCACTTGGCAACAACCGCAGCTGCGTCGCAACAGCTCTCTTCAAGGTGGAGCAAGATTTTCTCTGTGTCTGAGTAGTCGGCCAATGAAACACGACGATACCAGGGGTTACGTTTTGTGCGAGACATCGAATTCGTTAAAAAAAAAGGGCAGGAGACTGGAAACTCGTATAATGGCCGCGTCAGCAGGTTACAGGTTTGTTAAAGAGACGTTGGTTCTTGTCTCGGCTTGTCGACTACTAAAAGGGCGACTACACTGTTGAATGTTGAACGCACAGTCCCCATGGAATGTTATTCTTCGTGGTTGATCAACACAACACAATTCGTCAGTCCCCGATCAGGCCCTTCGCCCTCATTGTGAGGGAGGAAGTCCTCGTATTGAGTCTCGCGTTCGGGTTCAGACTTGTACAATTTATAGTTTATACGTATCCCTCTAGAAAATTTTACATCAATAGTGACTTATTTCTGTTCAAAGACCGCAATGATGCCCGCGAAATCGGTGTCACTTGCAAGTTTGCGCATTCTTGTACATTTCGTAAATTTTAGCCGATCGAGGCGATGTAAAAGATAAATGCGAGTGTCTTGAAATTAACGAAAAAGAAATAATGAGAATATATCAAAGAATGTAGTACGAGTTCTGATGCTGGGAAAAAGATTGAAATAATCCGCCACGGTGTCACATTTCATTGCGTCGCAGCTCTCGTCGGCTTAATTACACGGCTGGCTTTAAGCGGCATCCGCTAATTGCGATCCTTGTCCCGATGCGTCGCCGTCGCCGTGACTAAACCGAATAGGAAACACTGTCCTCCGTTGTCTCTCAATAGCACGGGTAATGGGAAGCGTCAAACGTCTTCGGTTAATTGCGACGATGTGTGCCTAAATAGTCCCTAAATTAGACTTCAATGGTTATCCAAGGTCTTACGTGGCGAGTTCGCGGTGGTACGTCTTCTGTCTCGTTTTTTGGCGCTGCAAGCACAAACAGCCCACGGCAACGGAGAAATTGCTCAAACGTCATCGTTGTGGCGAGGGGCTCTGAAAAAGGGATGTTTCGTGAGGAACGAGAACACGCGGCGAGTATTAGTCGATGGAGATACGGCGGTGGCATGCCGTACCTACCGCGAGCACCTGCTACTTATTTCTTCTCATTTCGTTCTTCCCTTTTTCTTCCGTTCTTCCTCTCTCGCTCTCTTCTTCTTCTTCTTCTTCTTTTTCTTCTTCATCATCCTCCTCTTCTCCCTTCTCTCATTCCCCCGCTCACTCACTTTCCCGTCGCGCATTAAACGTCCTTCGTCTCCGGTCGACCGGCTACCGACCGGGATGAAAGAGCAAGTGTTTGCCGAGGAAGCCCCTCCCCCCCCCGCTTCCTACGCTAGCAACTCGGAAATCTAAATCTTATCGGCGTGGTAATTGTCGCCTCTCGGTGCCTCTTGGACGAGGACTTGAGAGTTCGCGAACCGCGATAATCGTTTCGCTCGATGAACCCAATTAGCTGCCCGAGCTACGAAGCTTTTTGACATTTTCGCCCAAGCGCCTAACTTGTTGTATCATATTTCACGCAACGTTTACGCTAAATCACCGGAACACACAATGCGACGCTCGCGCTTATAAAATAAAATAAAATACTCGTGCAATTCTAACAGTGCGATAAGGAGAGGGGGATTCACAAAAGCCGAAATATTACGCGAAACCCTCCAATTTATAAAACGAATTTATCCTTACCTGAGAACGAGGATGTTGAGAGATTACTGTTGTTGAGTCGCCTCTTGTGCTTTTCGGCGTGTGTCATCGAACAGTCGCTTAATTACAAAGGCCAGAGCAGTGTAAACAGTCTCGCGGTCTCCTCGAAGGTCGCGCGAGTCGCGGCGCATGGCATCTGTTACGCGCACTCCACGGCTCTTATCTAAATTGTTTTGGCGCCCTTCGGGCTCTATTAAGCCCGCAAGATTGAAATAATCAGATCGGACGAGTTTGTGCCCAATTATACGCGTGCCGCGCCGCAGCCGTGGGTCTCCCTCGGCGCTCACGAGGGTTAAAAGTGGACGTGGGCGGGACGGGGCCTAATTCAGAGGCCTGCGGCTCCCACCTGGCCACGTTTTCTCATTATTGCCGAAGCAGACCCATGCGCCCGTTGCCGCTGCGTGTTTGTGCCTGTAACCCATAAAAGAAACATTATCCGGATGAGGTTGCGCTCGGAATTTTCGCTCGGGACTTGTATACAAAAGAAGGAGGGGACGGACGCGCGAGCGCTTTCTTGCGCACCCTAATTTTCTACATGTTTGCGCGGATATTGTTTTGCAGGCATATGTAACAGCCTCTCGTCAAAACGCGCCTTCAGAAAACTCGAGATTGTGTCTGAGAAACTTGCTCTCCTCCACCCAAGCTTATATAATAATTGTTCTTAACGATGCTCTTTGAGAAGGATGACACGAAGGACGATACGAAGAACCGAGATTTAACGTCTAAAGAAGCTGAAAACTTTCCTGCCGCGTCTGAAGAGAGAATCGCGTAGTCATTATGTTATTGCCCGTCTTTGAAAAAAAAAAGAAAAAAATAGCTGTTTAGACTACGCGTCCCTTTCTAATGTAGATCAGGGGTTCCACGCTTGCCGAATTGTCTCGAAATAAAACCCCACAGTGACTCATGGACGGCGCGCGGAACCCGAGGCCTTTTTTGCGACGATACGACGCGACGTCCTTGCGTCTGCGGGCCGGGTACGAATTAAAAACGCGGATCATCCAATTCGCGGATGGGAAAGGACGTGTCGAGGGGCCCTCTCCCTCCGTGAGTTTTTTTCGGGCAGCCGCCAGGCGCAACCCGATACGCCAATTATACTTCACCGCGGCCATATCGTCGCCAAGTATGCGCCGCTGACTTATCCACTAATTAAGGAACTCATCGTGTCCGGTCCGTAATTGAAAAGTTACGAGCAGGCACGAAGCGTATTAATTCGCGGCGCAAGCAGCTTCAATTGCTGAGAGTCCCACGGATATCAACAAACGGCCGAACGCGTCTTTGCCGTCCACCTCTGCCGGCAACTCGGCTTTATTTTTCAAGTGTCTAATTTTAATACAATTTTGACATCGAGAGCAGAGAGAAGAGAAGCCTCTGTTCGTGTCTCTTCGTTGCCTCACGTCTCCCCCGCCTCTGTCGAGTGTCGAAAGATAAGAGTTACAATCGAACAAGGAAACAATCTGCTTCTCATCCGTGCGTGTCATTGACACTTAAGTTTGGCACGTTGTACTTTTCTCATACATGCTCATACATATATCGCTTTCGGCCCACGTCGCGTTTTTGTGAATTTATGAGTCACACTCGCCGACACAATCCATTGGAGCAGTTGAAAGAAAAATGAAACAGGCAAGTAATGTCGAGCGGAAGCAGATGGAGTATCGAGTGAATTGGCGGACTACTAGTTTCAATTTATTTCGATGCGCTGTGCGAGAAGGAGGAATCAACGGCGGAGGCGCAAGAAAAAGTACAACACAACAGCCTCAGATGATAAAAAGTTTGACGCTGCGGTGTTAGAAATTTCATTATTAATTCCAACTGAATCAAACTGAAGTTGCTTCAACTGCGGTCGTATGAAGCTGCTTGCGCCCATGAATTAATGGCACTCGGAGCCGCTCAATGGTAAAGAGATCCCACAGTTTACATATTTATATTCCCAAAGATAAAATGCAAGTTAAGATGCGCAAGGATTCCGAGACAATGGTACAATTACGTGACGCGGTATCATTACATTAACGTCTAACGATATCGATGGTATCGAAGAAAGACGGGATTTTTATAACGGCTTCATTACCGGAGGCTGCCTTGGAGGGATCAACAACTTGGTCGCAGCCGCCGACGAGTCACGTGGGAACTCTACTCCGCGTCTTTGCAGGTCTTATGCTCCAAGCAAACGTCGTAGCAGCATTTTTCCCAGTCGTTGCAGTGGTCATCGCTGTCGCAGAGATCGGGCGGCTTGTACCAGTCGTAGGTCCTGGGACAGTGGGCCCGCAAGGGCGGACAATTCTTCTTCGGCTTCTTTACGATCTCATGCCAAGGTAGCTCGTGCGAGTCGTCGACGCCGAGCCAGAACCAAGGGTACAGCAGCGAGTGCCAGCCGTGCTCCGACCAGGATTCACTCTTGCCGCTCGGACAACAGTAATATCGATGGCCCGCCTTGCACCAGTACTTGCAGGACTTTACGTAAGCCTTCACCAGGAAGATGGACAGCAGCAGAAGACACAGTGAGCTCCCGCGCATAATGAGGCGCACCTGGAAATGGCGCACGATTGATATGATTTTTCAACGCAGGCTACTTTCCGACACCAAACGACACTCTACTTGAGACCAGTCAACGATATTCGATTCAACGATATTGCTAATACTTGACGTCATGACGAATCAACGCTTGAATGTTTCGCTTGAATGAGCGATAGACGCGATCGGCTTGCGCCCGGTGCAATTATAGGAATCTCGAATCTAAGGACCTATATATACTTTCCAGGACTTATACTTACTCGCGGCTCGACAGTCTGCGGTCTAACGACGACAGGTCTTCGTTTAGCGTGTCTTATACGCGCCGAGGGAACACGCCCCTACCCGGAGAAGAAGAGGGCTGTAAATCGCGCAACGCCTGTAACACGTCCGTCATCGCCGCGACAAGCGCGAGGCGTGCTTCATCTCCACTCGTGCCCGATTTCACATGTCAACGTTTCAAAGTCCCGTCGCCGATAGTTATCTATGGGAAAGGAAAAAAAGTCAGAAAACCTCGGAAGCGAAGGACGCGTCACGTTCGTGGAGTCATCAGGGCCGAACCGCGAAGCGAACGAAACGGCCGCGCAGGCTCGAGTATCCGTTTCCGCATGATCCTTATAAATCTCTAATATCTCATCTTCCGCCCGCGCAATCGAGGTGTAATCGGACATATTTTGACGTTAAAGTGATTAAAGGAACAGAAAAGACATTTCGTACTTGGTGGCTAGCTGCATCGACGCGAGTATCTTTGAATCATTCATCTTGCCGGTTTCTCCGTTCCATGCCGCACGCATGAAAAAGTTCCGCGCGCAATAATTAACCTCTTTATTCCCCGACTGCGAACAATCTAAAATTCACTCGATTGTGATCGATTTCTCGCATGCGCCGACCCTGAGAACGACGCGCGTTCGTCTCGTGCGAACGAACACGAAGAATACGCACGACCGGGCGGACGATTGTCCCGGGATTTTCCTTCGAGAAATTCGTTAGAAAAGCTGCTTACCTGACATCGAAAATAATGGCCGACCCCAATCTACTTTTGCAGCTCGCAAGCAATTCCGCCGTTCCCTCGACGCGTTCGCTTGTTTCAAAGTGGCGCAATTTGCATGTCCGTTCCTTTATCCAAACTTTTCTCCTGCACCTCGAAGACGAAGTGCGCATTCTTCGTGCTGCAACTACGATATATATATATATATATATATATATATGTTTTTCTTAATAATCGTGTCTCGAGATTCAACACATGATTCAACAAATAACATTATTTTATTACCTCGGTTCAAGATGGAAAGAAAAAGCGCAAAAGGGAGAGGCACTCTACCCTGATCTCGCAATTCTGAAATTTGCCGAATTATGCATGCAAGTGCAAACGAACTTTCGACGAGCACCGACCAATCAGCGACGCGCATTTCAAAGCGCCGTGGCAGTTGAGAAATGGTCGCCAAAATGACGGAAAGCGCGCGCGTCCCGCTCGGCACCTCGAATCATCCCGGAAAAATCGGCGTGCGGAGGAGCGAGTGATAGAGAAAATCGCGATCGCGAAGCGTGTGGTGTGATTAGTCGCAGATATCAAAGTGAGAGCGCCGCTTTTCCCCGTGAAGCAGCCACTGCCCAGCGGGAGGAGGAGAATATCTGGTATGCGGACAACAGAGGAACGCTTCTCTCCCCCGAAAGTAATGCAAAGGTACGTGGCCCATGCGACAGAGATGCTTATCGTCAAGGCTCGTCCTTTCGGCAGGACGAAGGTTGCGACTCCTCGCAGTCGCATGAACGTCAATATAGACGAGAGTCGCCCGACCGGTCCGGCGATTTTCGTCTCTCGAGCCGTCTCGCGATCGTCTTCCCGTTGACTCACACACACACATATCGAATCTTCGGCAACGTTTTACATTAACGAGTGTAACGGTACAAAAGCGCATGTCAAGGCTGGCATATAGAAGGAAACAAAGTATCGTCCAAACGTAGATTCTGTCGATGCACTTCTGCAAACGTTTGACGATCGATCTAACGTACCAATGTATTCTTTTTAGCTGCACTGCTGAACCGGTGCAATAAGTTAGAATGAGACAACTGTATTTTTTTCTCACTCTAACTTATTACATTAGTTCAACAGTGCAGCTAAAGAGAATAGACTACAAGTCATCCGTGTGTCCAGGTGTCCTGGGAAACGTAGGAACATATTCGGGATGATCTTAGTTCATGACGTTCGCGCTGTCGATTCAAGTATGCTTTCACGATTATTACTAACCTCTCTTTGCCACTCATTTGTCGTGCAACCTGCTCAATCGGGATACGTCTGACAAGCGATCTGTCGTAAGATTGAGTGCTTTACTGCTTCGTGCTTCATGAACGCTTCCTTACCGTTCGTCGATACGCGGTTCTCTTCAGGTTCGTCGAATGTGTATTATCGATACGGTTGACGATCAGGTAGTGAACTCATGTGATCGATGAATGAGACATTACTGATTTCTTCTTAGCCGGCAAATGCTCACGTAAGCATGCTGCATTTCGGACACAACGAATATCTATTTAGCGATATGACACTTTTGTCGCACAGACATTTTGACCAGACACAATGCATCGTGCAACACGCGAATATTATGCCAAATAGCGTCACCGAGTAAACCGTCAATGACGCAATGTGAATGTAATTGGATAATGTAATTTTTTAATTACATTATAATAATAATAATAGTAAAAATGTAATATTCAAATTACATTATAATAATTATCAATATTATTAACATTATTAATATTAATAATAAATATTATTAATCATTAAAAGTGTTAGAAATGTAATTTTTAAATTACATTACAATAGTAATAAAAATGTAATATTCAAATTACATTATAATACTTATCAATATTATTAACATTATTAATATTAATAATAAATATGAATAATTATTATTAATTATTAAAAGTGTTAAAAATGTAATATTTAAACTGCATTATAATAATTATCAATATTATTAGCATTATTAATATTAATAATAAATATTAGTAATTAGTATTAATATTAACAACAAATATTAGTAATTATTATTAATCATTAAAAGTATTAACAATGTAGAAGAGAAGATGATATTACATGGCTTTTGTAGGTATTATGGCCACTCTCAATATCTCCGTTATTAAGCAGCGAATTCTGGTTATTATGTATGGAATCATTTGTTTAATAGTTCGCCGTTAGCGCAGTCACGCTAATATGTCGATACACAATAGCTAGCACTTTTTATAACGCATTTTTACTTTCGAGCATTTCGAAGTGTTTTTCACGGTAATTTTAACATTTAATTAGACATGTTGCCTCTTTATTTAATTAGACATGTTGCCTCTTTATTATCTTTAAACTTGAGCGTATTATCACACGAATATATGTACACTTGAGTATTTTGTTTATTACTTGACATTTTATTCAGCTGTGCATCTTTCAAGTTGTGCAAAGTTAAATGAAATAACGTGACATTTTGCTAATGTGGCCCCATAAGAACGCTGATAAATATTGTCCCTTTCTCGAGGTTTTTTTACCAAAATAATTATGCGACAAGTCGATTTTAATCTGATGTTCACTGTTGCATTCATGTTTGTATTACACCGCTGTCTTTCTGGCAGATTGTATTTCCTAACAAGTAAGTCAATATCCACATTAAAAATTCGCAGTTATATTCATTATTATTTCCCTTTTAAGAGTTTAATTTGAATAAATGTATAATTTCGTAACTAAATACTTTACATTATTTTAAACAAAATCAATTTTTTGCATCAGTTTTAATGAGAGGCCACATTTTTTCGCCGACCTGTTATACTATGTTGCCACATTTTTATAAATAACATCCTAAATAATAAACATTACGTAAATTTGAGTTTATAATCGATCAAACAACAAATGCGATCATTCAGTTCTCACTTTAAAATATTGATTACTCTGACAAGGTTATGGTATAAAATATTCAAATTACATCATAATAATTATTAATATTATTAATATTAATAATTATTAGTAATTAATTAGGATGTGACTTTTTGTTAACGACTAGAAGCAGAGGAGGTGTCGGTAAGCGACGGCGAGCACGTCGAAAGAAACTGATCGAAATTCCTCCCCGGCCGCTCTCTTGACCGCGTCTCTCCTCCTTTCGCGAATCTCACGATCGCGCCGCTTCAAATGCTCGCCGTGTTCATTCAGAGACGATTGCGATCTCACGATTGCATCGATTGCCTTTCCCGAGGGTCAAGGTTTCACTCGCGTTGGCATCAGAGTTGCATACCTGGAATTAATTGTATTCAACTTTCCATTCTGATTTTACTCTCAAGCAACTGGCGCCGAGACGAGCGTGCAAACGCAGCAAGCTCGCTGCAAAATGATCGATAAGCGATTAGACCCGCGCGGGATATTCGAATTTGAATGTCCCGCTTGTACCGCACGCGATATCGTATCTCCAATCTCAGTCCAAAAATTCCGATCCAACTCCAGACTGAAAAATCCGAACACGACATACAACCTCGACGAGTATGAAAGTAATGATTGCATTCAGCAGGAGAAACTTCTACTTCACAGCTGTGCCGTATAAAATTCCTGAATCTAATTGACGTGCGCTCTTAAATTTGGCTGAACCCAAAAGCACGCGCCGATCAGGTTCACAAAGAACTTCCGCAAAAAGGGTCGATTTTTTGCCCGTTTTTCGGCCCTCGATTATGGAATCGAATTTTATGCCAGAAGATAGCTCATGATGAGACATTAATTACAGAAAAGTTTTACGTTAAGCGTACGATTGGTTTCAAAGATGTAGAGGGTCAAAGTGGTCACTATCTACTAAGAAAGTATGACACTAATAACGCTTTATCGCACGAATTTTTGCAAAATTCGGTATCTATGGGTTCTTTGAGAGTTGCTGATTATGAATCTGATGTCAGATTTTAAAAATTCAAGATGTCAGGTGCAACATGGCGGACACACATAGTGAAACAATCATTTACTTTTATTGGAACTGTTATGTTGTGGTATTTTGGCTAGCTGATTGCGAATTTTCTATTAGGTTTTCGAAAGTAATTTTTTCAACGATACTTTTTGAGTGGAAAAAGTATATTTTTTTATTGTTTTTTCATAAAAAAATATCAAACTCAAATTGATACGTTACATGACGCATAAAGGATAATGTGATAGTTTTATTTGTTATATTTAGAAGCTTATCTTGCCTTCATTGGCTGGATAACTTTTTCATCTTGCCTACACTGAAGGTAAATATAAATCTGATAGAAAATTCGCAATCAGCTAGCCGAATAAAAACCACAACATAACAGTTCTAATAAAAATAAATAATTGTTTCACTATTTGTGTCCGCTATATTACATCCGCTATCTTGAATTTCTTAAATCTGACATCGAATTCGTAATAAGCAACTCGAAGAACCCGTAGATACTGAATTTCGCAAAAATTCATGCGATAAAACGTTACTAGTGTCAAACTTCCTTAGTAGGTAGTGACCACTTTGACCCTCTATATATCTCTGAAATCAATCGTATGCTCAATGTAAAACTTTTTTTGTGATTAATGTCTTATCATGAGCTATCATTTCGCATGAAATTTAATTTAAAAATCGGGGACTGAAAAACGGGCACTTTTTGCGGAGATTCTTTCACAGCGCTTGCAGAGCAGTTTTCTCCACGCCTCACGGAAAAGCGCCGTTCACGCAGATGGGATCCCCGAGATTGGGATCAGAAACGGTTCCGTCGCGACGCGAAGAGACGAACGTTACTCGCGTGCTAACGTCGAATACACACGATACGCACACGCGGCCGTTAGAGAGACATTGACATTTGCATTCAAGCGCCTGGGTCATTGCCGTCCGAGTGCCCATTGAAATACATCTGATTAACTTACACGCCTGAATGAATACATGCGAGCGCGCACGTGCGTGCGCGGAAAGTAGAAAGCATCAAAACGGACCTAACTCGGGCAAAACCTATGAACGCTGCTCGGCTGGCCGGACCATGCCGACTTCCGCGAGCGGGCCGCGGGGAATTGTAATTTTTTATGCATCGTTTACGAACTTTCGAGCAGGATGCGCGTGCCCGAAGCACCGCGGGGATGCGCCCGGCAATTGCGTGCACGCCGGATCCCGATCGATGTTATTCCCGCGTGCGACCCGCACTTCTTGCTCCGCAGGCCGGCGGAAAAAGAGTATCATCCTGCGAATTGCAGAGAAACGTCGGAAACGGTGTCCGCGATTATGGCGGGTGAATCCACCGGCAGAAAAATCGAGTCTCCTAGACGTCCTCAGGATGACCCTGAATGACCCCGTTCGAGATGTCCTGGGATGTTTTCAGGATATTTACTTGTCTTGTTGTAAACGTTTCAAAGGAGAATTTTGTGTGTACATTTGACTTCATTAATTATAATACAATATTAGAAGTAATTTTGGAATGTTAACTACTGTGATAAAATATAAATGTCTCGTAAGTGTCCGCTAGGCTCAAATAGTACAAGAACCCAGACAGCACAATCTTCTGAAAGATATCTCAAGGATAAATAGTAAAAATATAGCCTATTGAATATGCCGATTCCGAGATACGTGTTGAGATACGTGTGCTTTCTATCTTTCTCATTTAAATTATAAATGGAAGGAGAATAAAGCACTCGATTCGATCCTAAATCGAACTTGGCAAATTCGATACATTAATTAGCTCGATCTCTTTTAGAATCAAAAGGATTTTAGGATTCTGAGAGATTAAAATTTAAAAAGATTTAGCAATTTTTTGTTTCCGAAAATGAGATTAAACTATTCGCGTATTCAACTTGCCAATTCCGATTTAGAATCGAGTTAAGTGCTTTTTTCCTTATATTTATAATTCAAACAGAAAAGATACAACTCGATATACCTAAAGAAAAGTAATTTCAGAATCATTTAAATTTTAAAGGATTTTACTTTTATATATGGCCTCAAGAGAATTCCTCTAAAATTAATGGAAAAATATTATAAACACATTATTCTTAAAGTTAGAGAAATTATATGTTATATATATGATGCAAATCTTATTGATTTTAATATAAATTTCCTCTTATATACATTATTTAACTTATTTAAGAGGATTATTATTTATTCTTTTTATTACTGGTTATATTGGTTGATTTGAAAAAATTATTATAATGTATAGCGAAAAGTAATTTATATATAGATATACTTCTGGTTCCAATTCTACAATAAGTAGGCACGAATGAAATAAGATTATCATAACAAATAAACTTCCAATCAGTTTTGTTATGGACTTCATAGCTACAACGATGTTCATCATAACCAATTGTATGACACATAGTTAAAAGAAAGAATACATTATTCAACTTCTTGCAATAAATTATAAACTGTATTTGACCAAATATCGGTCAATTATCTTCGTTATATTACAGCAATATACATACTTTTCTTAAAAAGCGTTCGAGATATTCTGACCCATGAATATATGATTATTTTTTCATTCATGTCTGGAGATAAAGCATGACTGAACGAAAGAAGCCGACATTCAAATCAACATCTTCCTCTTCATATAAGAGGAGAATTAATTGATATAAGAGGAAATCCTCTTGAAATAAGAGGAAAACAGAATAACATCTAATAAATTTTAGATGAATGGGTTTATTTTCATCGCTTTGTCAAAAGAGAAATCTTCTTTTTGTAAAAGGCTTCGCTTAGAATATGAGACTATGGGAAAAAGATCACTTTACAGATATAATATTCTTTTTTGGGTGTACAATTCGGAGTTGGCAAATTCAATGCATTATGTTTTTTTCCTTTTCATTTGGGCGTCTAAAAAAGTCCTCAGGACAGGATATCTTCTGGATGTCTTAAAAAAAGCTAATATTCTCTTTCTCAGGACATTCAAAGTCCTGTATATTCCAGGATAAAATTTGGACATCCACAAGATATCCGCAATGTCTGTCCTGGAAGTTCTTTGGATTTCCGGAGGACATTATTGTGCTATCTGGCCTCTGTCGAAGTTCGATCGCGGTCGAAGTAATATCGAGGAGAACCGCTCCTACGTGCGGATGATTAATTAGAACGCCGTTAGCTCGTGGAAATTGGACTGCAGGGAGATGACGAGTCGCGTCACTCTCCCTGCGCGGTAAAAGCCGCGAGCGCAGCGTGGAAGCAAAAATTCTCACGTTAGATTTGCTGTACTTAAGGGAACGACAAAAAACTTTCTTTTCTGCGTAGCGCCATTGTTATTCCAAGCGAAGCACAGGAGGTTTACGTCGTATACAAAATACGACTAAAATGTCCTATCGTCGGCCACGAATCTCAATTCAGGGTTCAGCTCGAAATTCCCGAAATAAAAATTCCTGAAAAGTCGAACCAGGATCCAGGGTAGCGTGATTGATCATCTCCGCTGATTTCGATCGGCCGATTGGTCATTGTCATTTTACACGCCATGTTTGCCCTGAGCGGGGTGTTTGCAATTATCGCGATTATAATGTCAAAGTAAACGTCATTAATCGCATGTCGATATTAGCCGCCAACACGAGCTGCTCATCGAGGCTTTGCGATTGCGAAATTCAGCCATTGACGCGATTCCAGCGCCGTCCGCGAAGCTATCGACAGCAATTTCGCATCTCGATATCAAGCCTCCGCGAGAGAGTTCGAAGAGCTTCGTCAGCAACCGACGTGAATGCGAATCGGCGACAGGTATAATCTTTGCACAAATGACGCGTCTCGCCGCGATGTCACGTAGGTAGCCGAGGAGGAGACGGCTCTTGTCACGATGCCGCGCGCAGGCGAGGCCGCGATTAATGTGTCGCGCGATCATTGTGATGTAAAGCACTATAATGCACGTCTGATTATTGTGATCGAGACGGACGGTCTTCCTAGATTTATGTGGCGGAACCTTCGTGCGACGGTAGGTAGGTCACGATACTGTGTACTCTCTCGGCGGTATATCGCGCAGCCACTGAGGAGAGGCGACCCATTGCTTTCCCTGTAAAAGTGAAGAGCTAAATCAGGTTGGCTCTTTCTCTCCGCTCTGTATGGTCGGGTCCCGGCCAATGTCACATCAGTATGTGCGCACCAAGTTCGCTTTTACCTCCTCGCCAAAGCGTGGAGTGGGCAGCTGGGGGTATAAAACAGAAAACGGCGCTTTTGCGAGCCAATATGTGTGTGGTTTCATTTCGGTCAGCGACTGACGTCCACTGCTTCTTGCCCCCGGCCGACATTGTCGAGACGCGGCGACAGTCATCATGCTGCTGGTAAGTAGACTTCAGCATCGTCTATTTTATTCGCCTATTGTTTGCCCTCTTTTCATTTCGGGGTCAAGATCGTTCATGTTGCTCTTCGCTCTTATGAAGAAAGACTCTTTGCGTTCTCGACTTTATGTCGAGGGAGATACGCTGGTTGCTTCCTAACAAAATACTTATCTTCTTTCAGAATGCAGTGGTACTTTGTTGCATCGTCGTCGTGAGCGCAGAGTCACCCCTCAACGGTACGTATCTCGATGAGAGAATCTCGCTGCACGCACATCTACTATTGCGAAACCTAGTCTCGCATGTACTTATCAATCGGGACGAGGTACCTTGTAATTGCTGAAAGATCTCGCTTTTCTTACAGGCTACTCTCTCAGCGGCGACAACAATGGCTACGACTACAGTACCGTCGATTATAGCAACGCCGCCGCTAATAATGGATACTTCGGCTCCAAAGATAGCTACTTGAACGCTGCGAGCTTTTACCATGACAGAGACACCGGCCACAAATTATCCAATCATATCGGCGGCCACTCGCCGATCAACGGCGACAGTCAGGCTAATACGGGGAGTGACTTGGGCAGTAGTTACAGCAAGTACTCCGCGAGCGACCACGGAGCCGATTACTCGGGCTACTCCAAGACTTACGACAGCACCGACGGTGACTCTTACTCTTTATCGAATCACGCGGCGCCCACCGCGTTCAGAGGACACTCCGGCTCCCACAACAACGCAGAGCCGAGCTTCAACGCGTACTCTGGCGGCTCCGTCCACAAGGAGCCCGATTTCGGCCAGTACGCCGCCGCTAGCGGCAGCAGCAGCCAAAGACTACCCTCGTATCCTGGATACAGGCCGATCGTGCTGGACAATTATCCCGACGGCACCGCCGAGAGCGACGTACGCGCGCAAGGATACCACGGCTCCTCCGGCGCTCCGAGCTACTCCGAGAGTGATCACGTCTACCCTCCTTATTCGCCAGCCGGTCCGGCTAGCGAGTACCCGTTTGGAAAGCAGAAGGACAGCCTGTACGGCAGCTTGAAAGGCGGCAACAAGTACAACGATATCCACTCGGTGCCGGGCGAAACGCGCTACACGCGTGGAAATGCGGGACACTCGAGCCATAATCACGGTGTCTCATCGCCGTACCTGTCCGGTTCCGGGCCGAGCGGCCACTTATCCAAGACGCACGGCTCCGGTGTCTACTACTCCGCGGGGAAGCCGTATAAGTACGGCTACAAGTACTCGTCTCGCTACGCTCCGAATAGCGGCGTGTCTTACCTGTCGCGGGAGCGCGATAGTCATTACGCTCCGTACGGCAAGGGTAGCGGGAAAGTCATTGTAATTAAGGACAGCAGGCCGAGTTACGCGAGCGTTTACGCCGACGAGCCGCTCTACATGGGCGGTTACAGGAGCAAGAGCGGTACTTTCATAAACGCGGCTGGCTACTCGGCGAACTTCGACGGCTACGGCGCGGGCGGCGGCAGTTACGACGACGGTCCCGTTGTCCCCAGGCGATACAGGCCTCTGCTCATGCAAAAGACTATTTATCCTTGACACACACACACACACACACCCTTGACCTTGAGATCGTATTTATAGTAGGTTTAATGTGCGCTGAGATATTTGTGTATGTATATATTTATTTTGTAAGTGGAGGGCTCGTGTTGCTTAGAATAAAAGTGCCGCTCGATCCCTTGTGACCTGTCGAAGTTGGCGTTTTTCATCGGCTCTCTCCTTTAGAATGTTTGAGTGGTTTTCACTCGCGGTGGCGTTTAGTTTAGAATATTTTTATTATTTACAGTTGTGGGAATATCGTGTGATATGCTGTCACTCGTAAGAGCACTTTTGACCTGCACTTGCGCGTTCTTCGCCCGCGTATAATAAATATCATGCTTGCTATGGTCCTGCGATTTTTGTCTAGAGAAACTAACGTTTCGTTAGCGCTATTTAGAATCTCCGACGCTCACGGAGGTGTCCTTGATATCTTGGGCTTGGCCACGAATGCCTCTTCTTCCTCGGCGAGTTCCAAGTCATTTTTCCACAAAGAATCGTTAATTACGTTACTATCGTACTTGTTGGTATTCCTACAAACAATGTTACTGCTAGATATAAATTTACAGAAATCAATAAACAAGCAGAAGCATTATTGAAACAAGCAACAGATAATAAATAATTTATTTTACAACGTTATAATTCGATATAAAAATACACGGTTGATCGTCATACAAAGAACGTGCGTGCGTGTGTGTGTGTAAAAATTAAATGATATAAAATGTAAGCCGCTTTTATCGGCACAAACAGATATTTCGATAGCCGTGCGGGAAGCAAACTCCAACGTGAACGCGTGAAGTGTTACTCACAGTGACGCTATGCTGCTGAATTCCTCCATTTCTGCAAAGATTCAATTTTACAATGGGAAATTCACCGATTCGTGATTATCCCTAATTATCTTTATTCTTTATGCTAACATTTTTCGCATCTATTAACGGAGTCGATATCTCTTAAACTGCCACCTCATCGAACGCAACACGTTTCCTAAGCGACTCCTATGACCTTACCGTCCAGCTGCTTAATATTTATCTAAGTTTTCATCACTTTCGGTTACGTGCTCCAATTTCCTCCAAGGCCCTGCGCGCGCGTAGGGAAAGCCGAGGGACTTTCACTGAACGCTTATTCGCGAATTATTTCTTTTAATGCGTCAAGTTCGTCATTTATACGTCAGTGTTACGAAACGACGCGATGAGACACTTATTCCACGTATAGCAGGGCTGTTTGATAAGTTTCAAGCCTAATAATGAAGCGCTAATATTCTTGGGCAAAATGGGTTTTATCTTTCGATACAGTCTCCTTTTAGCTCGATACTCTTTGTCCCTCTTTTTTCTAGTCGTCTCATTCCGTCAACAAAGTAGGTTGGGTCAAGTCCTACAAAATACTCGGTGGTAATCACATCCTTATTGGTCGCTAATTTTTTCCTCCCAACCATTTCTTCATGTTCGGGAATAAATCGCAGGGAGCTAGATTAGACAAATGGGGGGGGGGGACAATTCGTAATGTAATTCGTGTAGTTTGGCCATGACGATTGCAGATGTGTGAGCTGGTGTTCTGGCGAAAAAGCACCTTTTTTTCTTCAAGTACGGTGGTTTCTTTTTTTACACAATTTCTTCCTTCAAACGTTCTAATAACGATGCATAATATGCACCAGTGAGAGATTTTTCTTCCTGTTGATGAGCAGTATGCCATGATTATCCCAAAAGAGTCGCCATAACTTTTCCGGGCGAGTGGAACATCTTCGCCTTCCTCGGAGCAGGTTCGCCTGATAAAGTCCGCAGTTTTGGCTGTTCCTTGCTTTCAGGCATATAATGATGAATCCATGTTTCGTCAACAGTCGCGAATCGACGCAAAACATCCTTTGTATCCCACTTGGTCCGGTCCAAACACTCCTTTGAAATGTTGCATCGAATGCGTTTTTGGTTCAATAGTCATCAAACGCGGCACCCATCGCGCAATCAGCTTTCTCATGTCCAAATCTTCATGTAATATTTTGAACACGTTCAGAAAATATGCCTGCGGCATCTGCTACCTCTCTGACCTTCAGTCTTCGATCATCCTGTACGATTTGATGTACTTTGTCGACTATTTCCTCAATCGTTGTAGTTTTTAGGCGACCCTGGCGCTCGTTATCAAGCACACTTATACGACCACATTTAAACTCGGCAACTCGGACTTTCACCGTTGAAAACGAAGGAGTCGTCGTAAAGAGAATCCAACTCGGTTTTTATCTCCATCATGGGATCTTTTAGATTCAAGTATTTAATTACAGAACGATATTCGATCTTTTCCATCGTTAAAAAATATATCAACGCGCGTACTACAACTGACTGTCAAGACAAAATTAAGCGTCGCATATGGCTGAACATTTGGGAGCGCTTATTAAAGAGATGTAGCTTTCACACCTTGCAACAGTTTCCGACCAGTAATGTCGTCTCCATGTTCAGGCTCGAAATTTATCAAAAACTCGCGTACTATTATTCAAACATTGTCGAATGTGGTACACATTCTTACACGATACGTACCTGTTATTTGGCCATTTTCGCGACCGGATGCAACGGCCACGGAAGATATCACTAGAGTTTCGCTGTTCCTGCAAAAGGATATCTGTTAGTCAGAAAGCGTATACGAGCCCGACAACCAATTACGACGTACGAAATTTCATTAAATTATTTCTGGCTCGCGATAACTTCTGGTGGATAAATAACGCACTTGGAAGATTCATTCTTGTGTAAAGAAATTGTGTCGTTGGGTATTATTCTTCTAGAGATATTTCGTCCGACAGCCTGTACCGCTTTTGACGACACTTTTTTTGAACTCATTTCCCTGATTTCTTTCCACGCGCGCGATTTTCCCGTGTCAATTGTCGAATGGCGTAATTCTGATTGACTCTCAAGCCGATCGTGACTCTGATCAATCGCGTTTGACGGCCGGACTGTATTTGTAAGTAAAGCCAAGTTTTCATTCTGTCTCTCATGTTCTCGACTCTTGTATTTTGTAGTGGAAAAAGATACGCCGCCGACGAAATTTTTCGCAAAACTTTGAAGCTCATCCGCGGGGAGCGATGTCTTGTTCGTGTCATCTGCGATAATTTTCTGCCCCTTGAAGAGATGATCAATGTACTGCGCGAGATTCATCCGCAACAACGACACGTAACGATGGATTACGAACTATATTACGAACGTTATACCTTCGGAGAGGAATTCGACAGGCCTGAACCCTGTTTAATCGTCAAAATTGTTCGTTCGATACAACTTTCTTTCGGTGATATGTTCTTTTCCATCTTCACGCTTCGCCTACCGTGTACATCAATTTATCATCATATACTAACTTCATACCACATCAATGCGTATATTTGCACGAGACAGTTTATTTCGTTAGAATTTTGAAATGTTTTATTACGCGTATAGATACCTCAACATAGGGTATGACGGGCGGCCAGGATGTAAACGATCGTTCTGTTGGTCATAGTAAAAATCAACAGAATTCAACGTAGATATTTTTTGCAGCGTCGAATCGATGGTCACAACATCCTCGGGAGACTTCGAGGAAACGGTGTAACACATCTCAAGCAACGTCTCTCCGTTCAACTCGCCGATGTAATTCTTCAGCGGATCATTCTCGTCCAACTCGCTTTCCAGTATGTCCCGATCTTCCTGCGGACATTGTCCTTCGTCGCTCAAACGGCACTCGCCTCGCGAACGCACATTGTACTTACGTTGTCGTCGGCCTCCTCGTTTCGTGGTGTGTTAACATTCTCGCATCTCTGCATCTTCAGTATGTTGTCTAGGCGCTTCCTGTCGTGTGAAGAAGATCGCCATTTAGGTAAATTCCTGCGTTTCAAGCCACGTTTTCAAGTACACGGGAGCAATATTTACCTTATCTCTGCGCTCTTCAAATTGCCGCTGATAAAGTCCGGCATGTTCGAGCGCCTCGTTTTCCGCACCTCCTCACTGATCACAGGATTGCTCAGGAAATTGCTCAACGTTCCGTTAACATACTGTAGCGACTGTAGTAGAAAAAAGCAGCATTAATTCGCATAGAAAATTGTCTCGTTAAGGTACAATTTGCCTCTGCCACAGTCTACTCACAGGCGCGTGATCTATCGAGAGCAGCATGAGCAGAGTGGACATGAGCAAGGACGAAATCTTCGCTGCTCTAGCGTGAGCCAAGCGATGCAACGACAGGTTCATCAAGAGCGCGGCGGCGTACTCGAGCCTGTACAAGCTCATGACGCGACAGTCGTCGTGCAGATGGCTGATCAGCCATTCCAGCAGTCCGCTTTCTATCATGTATATCCGTTGCTGCCTGCGCAGAGACAGCTTCTGTAACATCGCCACCAACATGTCGCACGCGAAAGAATCCACTCCGTCGGCGTGATTACTGTCGAGACAGGCGAAAGTCTGAAAAACGTCGGCGGTTGTAACTTCCATCAACGCGACTGATCTCGTGGGATTATGTATTTCCGGTGACAGTATACCGCGTTCACGACCGTCGAGCCGACCGACAGGTAATCCCTCCCGTATCTAAAGGACGCCAGAGTGTTCAGTAATCGCGCGATGAATTGTTGCAACAGATGTCTGGCATAAGCTTCTCCCGCAGTCAGCAAACACGATAGAAGCGGCTTGTTGTTGTCGCTAGCGATCTGCCCATGAAACTCCAGCAGGTCGTGGCTCATGTACTCGTGCAGAACTTTGTTCCGGTCTGCCGGCTGTGCGAGTGTTATTTTCTAAAAGCACAAGCGTCGCTTCAGGGTGACTAACTCGTCGCTTTGTGTTGAGCGGGTGCAAAAGTTTCGATGGATTCCCTGATAGCAAAGTGGACTTTATTGGGAACGATCTATTCATTCTACCGGCAAGTGTACATACACTTCAATGGCATGTTCTAGGTCTACAATCTATAAGTGTTGCCGGATCAAAACTGGACTAGCCGCGATATTTTTGAGAAACCCATCAAAACCTCTGCACTTACCCCATGCAAGTGTCGACTTTCTTCATACCCAACGCAACGCTTGTAACAGCAACAACCTCGTCTTCACATCACCGTTGAGTAGGTGCAACTTGATTTTCTTGAAGTCCAATATTCTGGTAGGCGCCGTTACGGCTATGATGTCAAATTTAGACGTCGCCTTGTCGGTGTTGCATGGGTGATCGCTGAGTCCGTGTTGTAGCAGGGATGTCTGTGGGAAAGTTTGAATATTACAAAAGGAACATAAAGGATCATGATAGAAAATCCAGACAGTACAAGATGGTCTCAGAATAATCCTGAATATGTCCAGGATGTCTTGGGATATTTTCAAGATATTTAGTTATGTTGTTGTAAACATTTCAAATGAGAATTTCATGTGTACATTTGACTGCATCAATTATAGCACAACATTAGAAGTAACTTCGGAATGTTAAGTACTATAATAAAATATAAATCTCTCATAAATATCCGCTGCATATCCGCTAGTCTCAAAGAGCCCAAGAATTCAGGCAGCACAATCTTCTGAATGATGTCTCAAGGATAAATAGTAAAAATATAACCTATTGAATTCGCTGATTCTGCATTGCGTGTGCTTTCTATCTTTCTCGTTTAAATTATAAATGTAAGGAGAAAAAAGCGTTTGACACTCGATCCTAAATCCTACTTGGCGAATTGGACGTATTAATAGCTCGATCTTTTTTAGAATCAAAAGATTTTAAATTCTAAGAGATTAAAGTTTAAAAAGATTTAATAATTTTTTGTTTCTAAAATAAAAATGAAATTAAACTATTCGTGTATTCAACTTGCCAATTCCCATTTAGAATCGAGTCAAGCGTTTTTTCTTTATATTTATAATTAAACAGAAAAGACACAACTCGATACAATTCGAAGTTGGCAAATTCAATAAATTATATTTTTTCCTTTTCCTTTAGACACCTAAAAAATATCCATAACATATCCCGTAAAAATCCTTAGGACAGGATATCCTTTGAATGTCTTAAAGACTAATATTCTCTTCCTCCAGGATATTCAAAGTACATATCACGATGAAATTTGGATGTCTACAGGATATTCGCAATGTCTGTCTTGGGTGTTCTTAGAATTTCCGAAAGATATCATTATCTGGGAAGCGATCTTACTTACGGAAACGTCTCGCATATTCTGATTAAATAAATCCGGATATATGTTCGTGCAGATGTCGAGCGTTTGCTGTAGGTCGACAGCTTGGCCCTTCACCGAATTCTCCAGCGCGATCGTCAATTGCCCGGCGATGTTGATCAGCTTGTTATAGTCCCCATGCAGCTTGTGAAATTTTAGCTTTAGCTTTTCGTAGTTCGCGTAAATGTCGTATAAATAGTTCTTGGGCGTCGCTAATTCCTGATTGTGTCGGGTCAATCCTCCGTCTTGTTTATACGCTCGTGGCACACTGTCGGCGCTTTCTCCCAAATCGGATTTATATTCTCGCGAATTACTCAACGTAATTTGGTCCCCGGTGATATGCGTTTGGGTGCCTCTGTGGATAAGTAATACGCAAGCGATTTTTATTGCTTAAACCGTCACGACGCATACACGCGACTCTTACCGCGATTTTAAGCTACGATCGATTTCGCGGCCAAAGCCGTTCTCGTTGTCGTCTAAAAATACAGGCATGTCTCTGTCGTTTGCCACAATCGGGGTGTTTTTCTTTGTAGTTTTATTTTGCACAGACTCTTCGCCCTTCACCTTCGTGTGAACTTGTGGCGGATTCTTTGATTGCAGGTCATTATCATAGCTCACGGTGTTTAAATCAGCCGAGTCCTGTAAATTTCATAAAATTTATAATCCTGAGTAAAAGTCTCCTTCTCCTTCTTCCCGCGGATAGAAACTCGAATTAGCACACTGAGTCTACTTACTTGTCTGTGGTCGGCGATAAATGAATCGACATTTCTGGATAGCTCGTTCACCCAACGCGGCTCTAATACTTTTGAGAAAAGAGCATTTGCATGAAGGTTCTGTGTGAGCGGTAGCGCATAAAACTGTTGCAATTCCATGTCATGTTCGAACTCCTTGCCGTCTCCGCTCAAGTAATCTTGCAGCTGTTTCATGCTGTTATTTATATTTTTTTCGATTTCATTTCCATTGTTCTGTTTGTTATTAATAAGATTCTTAGGCTAATTGCTCTTAAGACAATAATCCACGCGATTCATGCAATATATCAATATAGATTACATTCATATAAACCTATACAAACACTTGAGGGGTTTTACGTAAAACAGCAGAGAATTTGAAAAGTTGCAAAACGTATATAGACGTAAATTCCCTTGACATAATTTAATCGCAGGAAAATATATGTGACCTTTTTATGGTTTTCCGAATCGAGATCTGCTGAAGATAGTCTCAGCACGCTCACCCCTGCTCCTTTTGGCTCTAATTTGTAACAAATTTGAAATATTACATAAAGCACAGGAAATATATTGTATGATAACATGATACTGTTTTTCTTACCATGTTCTTTATATTCACATGCGTACAATTTACAAACAGGTAGTATGGCAAAGTACACGTGTAAATAGAATGTTAATTTCTTATATTCTTCAGACTGTTTAGTGCTGTCAGAGAATAAGTCGTCCCATAACTAAAAATATAAGATATTACAGCTGATTATTGTACAGTATGTATTCCATCTAGAAAAATGCGTGGATTTCAAATTTCTTACCTGAAAAAATGTCGAATAATTTCCAGTGTTGTAACACTTTGTTAATTGGGCATACGGGTCAGTAAAATCTCTTGATTTGTACTCCAAATTCTGAAAACCCATTTTTGACGCCTCTTGGATCAAAGTTTCAGCTGTGCTTTCAAATTTATGATCCAGAAGGAACTGGAAAAAAAGGAAGAGAAATTTATTTCACGGTACAATGAATAGAAATCAAAATCATTTCGTACCTGATGAATTTGTTCGATGTTCTCGTCAGCCATTTGGTTCTCTGTGGATAGCTCGAGACATGCTCCGTTCTGCCTGAAAATATTATTATCGCTATAGGAACTCCGCGAAGCTATAAAACTAAATCGCAAATCATTTCCGTGCATTTCACAACGACTAATATTCGCGTTTACTTTGCTTACTCCGCTGACATCTGATTGTCGTCCGGTTTACTTTGGCGAAGATTCAGCCAGTCCTTCTCTCGCAAGAGTTCATCCCAGAAAACGCGTCAGTCTAGGCCGTTAATTGATTTTATGCAAATATAACATCGATCATCCACCAAACAGCGGCGCGGCGAGCTTCTGATACGAATAAAACTCGCGCGAATAAAATTAAACATTAATACAGAGGTGGAGGTGTGTTGCCATAGGCGATTTTTGTTATGATGTTCCGGCTTTCGTAGATACGGTAGAATCGGTAATTTCCCATCGCCATGTGACCCGCGGAAGAAAACAATTGTTTGACGTTTGCGTATACGACCGTGACTTCTGACAGCTCACTTTTCTCACGTACGTGCACACACATACACACATAAACACGGTGCTGCAGCTGTCAAGTTGTTTACACTGGCGTCCATTGATCCGTAGAATTATCCTTTTGGAGGATCGAGGCGTAATTAACGCTTGTTATACTTTCGGGAGACTGTAAAAATGACGGAGGAGCAGTGTCCCTCGCTGCATGACGCGGTTGTCTCACAGGTTTGCTTCTTGTTGGCTGAGTCACACGCTACTCGTAGGTTATGTTTTGCATTGAAGAAACACTTGCTTATGAACCATAGATACCGGACACTGCGTGTTACATACCGAATTTTATCACCGAGGAGGAAGAGAAACAGATCGTAAAGTGCGTAAATAGCGTTCCGTTGCCGAAGTGGACGCAATTGAGCCACCGTAGGCTACAGAATTGGGGTGGCGTACCGCATCCCAAAGGGATGATAGCAGAAGAGATTCCTAGTGTAGGTAGACGCAGGTCGTGAGGTACCTTGGGATCAATTTAAAAACAGAAATCTACAATCTTTATAGATCTCTCTTGTAGATACAAATTGTTCAGAACAATCCTAACAAAACTTGCCAATTTTTTAGTGGCTTCAAAAGTACATGAACAAAGTGACTGCTTTAAACACCTTTGAAAATGGAGTGTCGCCGAATCATGTTTTGATTAACGAATATTTACCCAGCCAAGGAATTATGGTATGTCAGGGACAAAAAGCACCACACACACGTTGTTCTTCCATTATGTATAAATTATATTTATCTGCGTCAGTCAGTAGAAAATGTATAAATTTGTACATTAAGTTACACTGGGAACAATAACGCAATGTTTTGGCCAGGCACACTCGGATGGCCCACTCTTTTACCCTGTTGTAACTACCATCAGTTGCGGTTCCCATATCTTTCTGGACTTTTATAAACGGCTCGATACAATAGAGGTAGATACTGCAATATACAAAAACACAATTATATGACACGTATATATATAATGTACATTACTCTTGCAGCAACAGCAACCAAAATTAGAATTTAGCTTGCTACTTGAGCGCAGGAGTCTGTTAGTTCTACAGAAGGATTTGTACCATAATTACCTGCACTCTATAGCGGAGAGAGATTCCGATAGTATAGCAAAGTCTTCGATAAAAAATTTGCACATGTGTGCGCAAAAGTTTACAGAGGGAGAAGTATTAAAACGCAGTACTAGATTATCCTTGACTATCAGACATGTGCCAAAGACTAGCAAGATGAAGTTAAAAATTTTTTGATATGTTTTATGTACATTATTGAAATTTTTAAAGAATACACTTGTATCTGATAGTGGTATAAAATTTTGTCAATCTGTTGCTTTTTTGTCATCATCAGTTTCAATCCATCCAGGATAAACTTACTTCATGAATCTTTTTTAGCAGAAAGAATTTGCACATCCATATTCTCATAATTTTCAAGACTCACGTCCATTACTTCTTCATCACATTCGTCCAACATTCCTTGCAAAGAATGTATAGATGATATTAAAACATGGAATTGTTTACGACGCATTTCCAACTTGTGCTCCAAATGTTCCGATTTTTCCTACATGTTCAAAAATTTATCTGTTATCACATATGTTATCACAGATGTTATCACATCTGTTTTTATAACTATCTCAAATACTTGTGCATGACAAATCAATATTTAGATATATTATCAAACCTTTAAACTGCCCAATTCCTCTCTCAGTGTAGCAAGTTTGATGTCAGTTTCCAATCGGTCTGGTTGCTCATTGATAACTTTGGCCAACACATCATACTCTATCCTATTTTTCCTAACACGTTTGGCATCTTGCAATTCTGCCTTTGTTGTCTCTATCTCTTTTTTGGCCTCTTCAATCTGCACCTCGATCTCTTCAGACAATTTTTCATAACTCTGTAGCTCCTCTCGACTCATGTTGGAGACTAATCTGGATTTTTTCTGTGCAAACTCGCACTGCGCCAACTGCGACAGCATTCTTTCGTGCAGCGTGTTGTCCACATCAGAATTGTTGATCCATTTTATGAACGACTTTAACAACATATTAATCCTACGATCGTCTCCCGTGCCATCACCGTCTATGAGCAGTCGTCGACGTATCACTTCTTCTACAAATTTGGATTTATATTATTAAGCAAATTATATATTATTCGTATAAAATATACATTGTATTCATGCAATATGTATGTTTCTTCTGTTAAGATGCGCGAGAATCTTGATAATTGTTTAACTGGATTAATTATCCTCAAATATTCTTCATTTTTTGTAATAGTAAGTTATATATAATCATAAGATATTGATCAACAAACTTTACGCACCATCAATCATCTTGTGATTTATTTATAATCTACCAAGTAACATCTGACGCAATGTACACCTACACGATTTCATTGATCAGAGACACTAACAAGATCTATAAAAACTATTGGTCTTACGGAACCTAGCGTACCAGAGGCTGCGTTCCGATATTGGGAGCATTCAGTACTACAACCGCTCACTGAGCGCTAAATGAGCTCTTGCATCTGATTGGTGCATATTTTTAAATCTAAAGGTATATACCAATCAGATGCAAGAGCTCACTTAGCGCTCAGTGAGCGGTTGTAGTAGTACTGAATGCACCCATTCATTGTCAGCACTGAAAATCTATAGTATACGTGACACAAACTATGTATTTTCAGTAGTGGCAGTGGATATCGGAACGCAGCCAGAGAAATCTCGTTGTGCATTAGCGCCTCCTTAGGAATACTGTGGCGGGAATATGAAACATAGCTTGAAATAAGCATGGATGGTAACAGATATGGAATAATGGAAAAAAGATATCGGAAAGTATGAAAAAACTATCAATATGGAAAACAGGTCGAATATGTGTGTGTGTATGTCTCCTAGGATTGCGAGGTGTGAGAAAATTTGGAATAAGTTTTATTTTAAATATATACACACGTTGGCATTCCTTGAGTTAATAATTCGAAGTTGAAATAATACTAAAATTGCGGTCGAAGACATATGTAGTAGAGTGTTTCACGAATTCCTCGCTCCGAGGAATTCATGGAGACATAGAGCGGATTAAGATGAAGATAAAATTCACCATTTTGCGATATTCGCAATAACTCTCGAGTTATTAATTATAGGAATGCAACGAATGAACACGCGCCGAGATGATATCAAAAAAGCATCGAAACCGTTCGGCCCAAAGCGCGGCCCACTTGATATAGCGATTGTTGCCAGCGCGCGGCGAGGAGAAGGACAATGTGCTACTACTTGTATTTTATCTCGCCGCTGCTCATGTTTTTATCGTCTTCGTAGTCTTCGTCGTTGTCTTGGTCGTCTCCGTCATTATCTTCGTCGTCTTCATCGTCATCTTCATCGTCTTCGTCGTCGTAGTCGTCGTCGATGGTTCATAAACTGTAGTTGTCCCTATTGTTTAATTTTTTTAAAAGGATAAAACTATCGCCAGGAAAAGTGTTTGCTGAATTTCTTAAAAACTGATGCAAATGAAAAAATGTTCAGGCAAAAGTTATTTATCTTGAAATTTTGCGCTAAGAAGCTTTTCCATAGGGTTAACTTTTAACCGGAAACCGCATCTAATAGTCTCTGAAAATAAAGGGAATCCTCTTGAGGAACTGTCAAACTCGCAAAACTTAAGAATCTAGAGTTATTTTGAAGTTTAAACCTGAGAATATTTTATTGTAGAAGTACAATGTGAAGTGACATTGTAGCTGAATATAATAACCGTTCATTTCTGTAAGGCAGGGGAAACTCTTTATTTCATATCTTCAATTGGGCTTTTGGAAATGAATCCGTATATATATATTTTTATATCTCTTCATACAATATTTTGACCTCTCTCTATAACTACATGCGGGACTGCATGATGGTACGCCTACATAGTACACAATAATTCTTATTACTGTATTAAATACAATTTACACTTCATAACATCGCCATTATCGTAGAAATGGTTTATAACGCTCAAGAATATATATATATAATATTTCATCTTCTTCATGAAAAAATACGACATGTCTACATATCTGTGGTATCTAATACATTAAGATCATTGGTCCCACATGTCGGGGTCTTCCCTTTCTCTCTTTCTCCTCAAATATATAATATTTGCAACATATATTATGACATCTACAACTTAAACTTATTACACTCTTCTTGTATTTCAACGTTTTCCTGCTGGTACTTTTTAACTTAAAGAAAAAAAAAAAGGAAAAGGAAAAAAAACAATCTTCGAAGACAGAAAAAAGGAGTCCTACACTTGCGAACTTCGTCCTTAAAGTCAGGTACATCTCAAATAAACTTGGTAATAGTCATCTCTTTTGCGGGACACTGTAAAAATTTTTTTTATATTACAAAACATCTTTGTTCGTTGCGGTATTATTATAGACCATTAGAACAGGATTCATAACAGAGTTCGTCGAGCTAGTGGTATCATTAGACCAAAGGCTACTAGTGAGTATTAGGAGATAGTCACGAAGGCGATATATCTGGCATGAGGTTTCATCGAACCGCATATATTATTGGTCCCTCTTCGATAATTAACCTGCCTTGATTGTTACAGTCCCCAAAGATGCACTTCGCACGTACATATTCTGTATTTGTATTCCTACAAATGTATGTTCTCATTGCGTTATTTTTAACGTGTAAACAAACTTCAAAGTCGTTTTAACTAACGTCAACGATAGTCAGTGCTCACAGTTTGTCAGCACCTTTCACGGCAGGATTCGTCAATGAATCCGCTGTGGACTGTGTGGGTTAACCAGCCAATTTATAATTTTTTGCAAACGTTAAGTAAGTTGCCATCGGCGTGCTGTACCGTTCAACAAAACTGACGCGACTTTGAGATTACCGTCGATGTTCTCGAGGAAGATCGTTCTTCTTGCCACTTCTTAAGTACAGCCCGTGTCAACTGGCCATTAAGATCGTGGCTTGCAAGCGCGTTTCGCGAAAGCTCCCGGGTTACTGTTACGACTGAGAGGGTTTCTTGCGTCTTCCGAACAAGTTGCTCAGCACGGAGCTGCGCTTGTAGTCGCGATCTTTCCGGTTACTGCCAGTGCTGTGCTCGCTCTCTGATCCGCTCTCTGACGCTCTTCTGCCGTCCATCACTGTGATGTTGGGAGACGTTTGAGGGGCCGCTGGGGGTGCGACGTAAGGCGGCAACGATGTCGGTCTGCCGGTGAACGTATTGTTCTGCTGCTGCATGCCCTGTACAAGAGAAAAGAAAAGAAAATGTAGTAACGAGTCCATTGTTCGGCGTTAAACAGAAACATAGTATAAACAACAGGTGTGCGATGTAGCAGTGAGGAGAGTCAGACTCACCTGTCGGGAATTTACCGGTACATTTCCGTATGCTGCAACAGAAAGAAATACGATGAGGATATTTTCAGTTTACAGATCTTACGGGTAACAACAAAGTTCGGATGCGAGATATTGGGTTATAAATTCAGACGCAACTGTGCCGTTGTTATCGCACGCTAAGTAGCTATGTACAAGTGGTTACTGCCGACCACACGAATTGCAGAGTTAGTTACCTGTTAAGGGATCAAAATATGGAAATATGGAATATCAGCAGAACGTGATGTTAAACTGTAATTTTACAAGTGGCGGAGTGGCGGCGTTAGTATTTTGTGAGAAACGTGTCCTGGTTAGGTGTGTGTACATGTGACACTATAATTTCCAATTGCTTTGGCGTTGCATTCCTCGTTAAACCATCTTTGCGACTGTTTCGCCGAAACGCCGATGTAGGCGGACAATGAAAGCGGGAGGGTGGATGGTTGTGCATGCAACCAGCGCATTATCGAACACGGAATGCGCGAATGCTCTTTAAATGACTGACCAGGATCGTGAGGAGCGTTCCACTGAGACATTCTGGTCGACGGAGGGGCGCTCGATGGCAGAGGGGGTGCTAATTCTATAAAATGATGATGAATGTTCACGTGTACACGGGTCGATCGAGTCGAGAGTAATCCTAGAACCTTCTGAGACTTTCTATCGCTTGAGACTTGTGTCGCGTAAGAGCGTTGTCGTACCTTGATGTTGCGTAGTGAGCTCCACACTCTGCCGGTGCCATCCCTCGTTCGCCGGATACTGCCCAGATCCATTGTGGTTCAGTGTCGCGCTGCGTTGTTGTTGGTAGACGTTGGGCCTTCCTTGTGGCAAGTGGTGTTCCACGTCTGCACAGAACGTTTCAGAGAAATTAACTGTCGTCATCGGGTTTCCGAAATTACAGCATGTCTTTGAATCGCATTAGCGTCATCAGTTAATGTTGAAACTACTGAAAGCGGCCAAAATGACCGGTTTCTAGCCTCTCGCAGCAATTCCTATAAAGAGGCACTTAGGGATTCCCCGGTAAAGGAATAGGCTGTTGAAGCATAAAATCCGCGTCAGCACGCACCATTACGCCGATATTGCACCATGTTTTCCGAGCTGGGCGACCGCATGGGGACAGGCGGGGGTGCGCCTCGCGGCGGGATCGGTGGCTTGTCGGTTGCCAGCATCGCCGAGTTCGGCTGGTACTGGTCCCTCTGCGCCGCCAGCTGCTCCTGCTGTATCAGCTGTTGCTGCTGCGCGAGCAGCTGCTGCTGCCTGTGCATCTGCAAGAACTCCGTCTGAGTCTGCGGCTCGGCGGACCTCTGCGACGCCAGGAACTCGGTGTTCTGCACGTCGTTGCGTCGCTGCTGGTTCTGTCGGTGCTGCTGCAGGAACTCTATCTGCACCGAGCTCGGCGAGTGATGCTGGTTCGCCGCGGGCTCGCGCCTGATCACCGAGTTCTTACGCTCCATCTCGGGCGTGGAAGCGTGGCTGCTCCCAGTCGACGCGTTATCGTCCGCCTGCTCTAGCGGAGCGTTCTGCAGCCTCTCCATGCCTTCTTGCTGTAAACCAATTTCAGGAGTGAATCAATGTGGGTCTTGAGGATGATCGAGATGACGCGTAAACAATGAATAACAATCGCAGGAGAGATTAAGGCATCATCTTGAATGATGAAGCGTCAGAAGCGAGAAAAGGTTTCGATAAGGGAGAAGTTTCTGGAGCATTTTAGAAACTCCTCGCTTCTGATATCTTCACCATTCAAGATGGCCGCGACGAGGAAACAAGGGTGTCAGGGTATTGAATTTGTTCGTCGCGCGAACCTTCTGCGACTCGTCGTAGCTTAAGAGCTGCAGGCTCGGCGGCAGCTTCGCGTGGAAGGAGATTTTGTTGACCCAGTCCTCCATCTCCTGCTGACTCGGTGCCAGGAACAGGAACTCCGAGCCGTCCGTGCACTTGAGCCGGAACACATTCTTCTTTTTCGTGTAGTCGTCCGCTTTCTCGCATATGGCATTGAAGATGGTTATCGGGGCAGTAGCCGCTTTGCTCAACGAGAAATCTTCAATGTCCTTGAAGAAGCACAGCAGTTGTCCGCATAGCACTGAAACAAGCGAGCAGATGCAACGAGGTTCGCAAGTGGGACTTTAACTTCTCGTGCGAATGATCACACACCGGTGTAATATTGCTTCCACGATCGCACGGCTGCTTTCTTGCCGGCGCTCTGAAGCTCGTGCTTTCGCTCGAGCAGGCCTTGGATCTCAACTGGCCGTAGGGCGTCCATATTCTCCATTCGCTGGAGCTTCCTGAAGCTCTGCGTTCTCCGTCTGGTCGTGAAGCTCGGGGTCCGTTTCGGTTTCTTCGTATCAACCTTCATGCTCTCGGCTCTCTTGATGTCCGAGGTCGCTGAAAGCAATCGAACTCGTCGTTACACAATTGACCCTAATCTTTTCTTCTTTTACATTATAAAGCCCGAGTAAAGTGAGTCATCATTAGTCAAGAAATATCCACCTCGTCTTAACTTCTCGCCAAACATGTGCGATATGCCGTGCGGTTTCTGGGGTATCGCAGGTTCTGCCGTTTCAGAAGCAGCAGCACCCTTCAGTGGTGATAATCTGACAAACACACGAGTCAGTGTTATCGATAATTCTGTGCAATTAATTAGAGGAATTAAAGTTAAATTATTGAAGTTTTGAAAATACTAAAGTTGGCGACTTGAAGCAGCTCAACGTTTAACCTCACGCTCATCTCCATCTCAATCCTCACTCACATATTCACAGATTCGTGTTCGTCAACGGTGCCGTTGACTTCGTCGTGTTGCGTGCGATGAGAACTGTCCAATAATCGTCTACGTTCCTCTTCGCGTTTTCGCTCTTCCGTTATCCTCTGCACCTCTTTGCGTTTCCGCTCCTCGATCCTGGCGCGTTCCACGCGCTCTTTCTCCGCTTGGCGGGCCGCGATTTCTGCCTCTTGCTGCTTTTGGAAGGCTTTTTCAAGCTGTATGGATATTTAAAGTTTTAGACATGATACACCCACGTTAAATAGACCAGATGACGAAAATAATCGAGCGTTACCATCGTTATTCGTTTAAGCGCGCTGAATCTGTCCTCCTGCGCCTCTATGGTCTTCTCGAAGTCGTCGTGCTTCCTTATCAACTCTTCCACCTGCGGTATGCTCTCCCCGAACTTTCCGTCCTGCAGCATCGGCTCCCTGCTGACTATCCAGTTCTCCAGGGTCTCAGCATCCCTCTTGAACAACTGCGTGTCCAAGTTTTGCTCGTAAATCAGCCTTCTCTGTCGCCACGTGTCCTTGAGGATCTGCTGGCGTTGCTGCAACACCGAGATCTTGTCCTCGATCTCCTTCGCCAAGAAGTGGCCCTGCTCAATCAGCTCCTGCCCGGTCCTGTAGAACTTCTCGAAAGCCTCCTGGCGCGTGTCAATTTCCGACTTGTACTCGTTGTGCCTGGAGATTAGCGCCTCGGCGCCAGGGACGTCCCGTGCCAGTTCTGGTGCCGTGACTTTCGCTACCATCTCGTTGATCCAAGATATCAGTTCCCTGTACTCGCCCAAGTACGCCTGCAGTTGCTCCGCCTGGGCCAGTTTGCTTCCTCTCTGCGCCGCCTTCTCCAGCAACTCGCCCCAGGCTGTTTCTGCCTCCTGGTGCTTCACGTCGATGTGTATACGTGCGTCCGGGAACAGCTCGATCAGCCTTGACGCCTCCTCCATCAGGCACTCCACTTGCTCCTTCACGGCCGCCAAGTCGGTCTCGAATCCTTGATGCTTTCTCACCAGCGCCTGAATCGTCTCCAGGTCGTGGCCGTAGCCGTCCGAACTGAGAGTGGCTTCCTTCTCCTGGATCCAAGAGATCGTCTCGTCGGCCGTCCTGTCGAACATGTGAACCTGCTTGGCACCCGCCAGCGCCTCTTGCCGAGCGTTCGCTAATTCCTTCAAGTCCTCCCACTGTTGCTTCGTCTCGTCGATCTTCAGCAGTATCTTGCTCTTCTCGGGATTGTTCTGCTCTATCAGCCTCTGACCCGCGTCCAGTACGGCCGAGACGCGACCTTCGCTGGTCGTCAGGCCGGCCAAAAAATTGTCGAATATCTGGATCAGCAGCTCCACGTGTTCCACGTCACGACCGTAGTCTTCCGATGCTGCAACAGTAGTTTGATCTCCGATCCATTCGATCACCTCGTCCGCCTGCCTGATAAATTTATAGAATTTCTCGCTCTCTGATAGTCTCTGCAGTCGATGTTCCTTCAGGTTCTGCAGCTCTTTGAATTTCATCTCGATCTCTTCTTGTTTTTGCGCGATATTCTTACTGTCGAAGTGGTGCCTCTCCACCAGACCACGCGACAGCTTCTTCAGATTGTCAATCGTGCTCTCGAAGCCGGACAAGTCGCGCTCGATGCCCTCCAGCTTCTTCAACAAAGACTGGACGGAGTCTTCGTCCTTGCCGTGGTCGGTCGACGTCAGCTGCGGGTGTTTCTCCCTGATCCACTGTTCAGCTTCTGCGGCTTCCGCGTAAAACATTTGCGACTCCACAGCGTCGAGTAGTCTCAGCTTCCTGACGCTCGCCAGGTCTCGCAGGTGCGACAGTTTCTCTTGCAACTCCTGCGATAGCTTTTCAATCTTGTCCGCCGCAAAATGCCCGCTTCTGATCATCACGGTCGCTCTACTGACCAAGGAAGCTACTACGGGCTCCCTGGATAATAGTTCCGCCTCTAAGGCTTGGTGTTTCTTCTGCAATCGTTGCACCGTAGTTAGCGAGCTTCCTAAGTCGTTGCTCGCGGCCAACGGTTCCTTTTCCGACAGCCAATGCAGCTCATCCTCGACGTCCCTCGCAAACTGATGCAGTAACTTTGCGTCTTCCAAGTTATCCCTGCGTATCTGTATCGGTTCTTGAAGACTGTGGTACCGGTTGATCGTAACTAATGCTCTCTCCTGGATCTCGTCGCACATGAAGTGGTTCGACTTTTGGAAGCTAGCAGCGGTGTCCTTAATGTACTCGCACGCTTCGTTGTGGCCGAGCACGTCGTTCTCCAAGTTGGTGTGTCTCTTCAGCAGGTTCGCCACGCTCGAGAGGTCCTTGCCATGATCCTCTGATTGCAACTGAGTCTCCACCTCGTCCATCCACGTCTCGAACTCGTCCAAGCTACGGCCGAATAGCAAGGCCTGATACGCGTCGTTCAGCCGGTTCTTCTTCAGCTCGCTAGTCTCCTGCAAGAGACGCCACTCCGCCTCCAAATCATCCAAACGTTCTTGTATCTCCTTCGAGGCGTAGTGGTTCTCTTCGATCAGTGCCTCGCCTTCGTTGACCACTGCGCTGATTCTACCCTTGTTCGCCATCAACTCACTCTCGAACGCGGCGTGCTTCTGAATCTTGCTCTGCAGATTCGACGAGTCCCTGTAGTTCTCATCGCTCGCCACCTGCTGCTTCTGGTGCAGCCAGCCTTCCACCTCATAAATGTTCCTGAGAAACTGATGCAGGTGGTGGCTCTCCAGCAGCTTTCTTCTCCTGGCTGTCGCGCTGTTCTTCAGCTTGTCCCTCCTGCCGCAGACCGAGGTGAGCCGTTGCTTTATTATACCCGCGTCCGCGTGCTGCTGCGACAGGATGTCGTTAGCGAACTTCTCCAACTCCTCGATGCGTCCCATTTGGGAGGCTAACATCTTTTCGAATTCCTCGTGCTTGCGCAGCAACGTCTCCACGCCCGACAGCGAGTCGCCGAGGTCGTCGTTGTTGAGGAAGGCTTCCTTTGTCGCCAGCCAGCTGTCAGCCTGATCGGCTTGCTCCTTGAACAGCTGTAGCTGATGCGCCTGTGTCAATTTTTGCCTACGATCATCCCACGCGTGGACTAAGGTTTGCCTTAGGCCCTCTAGATGCTCGAGGTTATCCTTCACGTCCTCGTCGATCGACAGGAGCTTCTGGCCATGTTCCTTCAGGCCCTTGAATATGTCCTGCCGACCGTCGATCTCGGCTTTCCTCTCTTGGTGCAGTTCTAGCACAGCCTCGGCCTCAGATATGGTGGTCGGCGGCTCGGACTCGTCCATACGCTTGATAGTGTCAGCCACCCAGATGTCTAATTCGTGCAGGTCGGCTTGGAACTTGTGTAACGTGTAAGCGCGATTGAGAGCGTCACGGCGATGTCGGGTCAGACGTTGTAGGTCGTCCCAATTGGACTGCAGCTCGGAGAGTATCCCGTTTATTTCCGGCGCCTTGTCCGGGTACTTGTGCGACAGATTTTGCGCCTCCGCTCGGTGCTCCTTCAGCTTGCCTTCTATAGCGGTCATGTCTCGCTCCATGGCCTCTTGCTTCCTCTGCAATTGCTCGACGGCGGGCAAGTCTTTCCCCGTGTCGCTCGTGTTCATAGCCACTGACTTTTCGATAACCCTTTGGCTCGTGTCGTCGATATCCCGATTGAACAGGTGGATCTCTAATGCACCCGCCAAGGTCTCGCGATACGTGCTCAACGCGCCCTGCAGTCCTTTCCACTTGTTGTTAAAGTTGTCGCGACGTTGTTGAATGGTCTTCGACTCGTTGTCGCGACCCTGTTTAATGAGCTTATCTGCCAGAGCATTGATCGTCTTTATCCTGGAGTCGTCCACTCGCATGTCGCTGTCCACGTCGTCAAGCTTTCTCTGGAGGCTCAGACAGTGCTCGTAATCTTTCCCGGTGTCACCAGCTTGGACCATCATTTCCTTGTCCCTGATCCAGGCCTCGATCTTCTCCACCTGATTGTTGAATTCCAAGATATCTTGGGCCTCTTCCAAGCCCCTACCTCGATTCCCAGACTCCAGCAGTAACTTTCTCCAGGATGCGTGCAGGTGTTCCAGCTGCTGACGGATTTCCGCGCTCGCTGGATGTTTCTGCGCCAGTAAGGTCTCTCCTTTCGCTTTGATTTCCTCGATTCTGCCCTGGTTCGCCGCCAGTTCCGCTTGGAACGCTTGGTGCTTCTGTAGCTTCTTGATCTTGTCCTCCAGGCTGGACACTTCGCCTTTGGATGCCTCCGCTTCCAGCTTCTTTTGCTTCTCGCCTATCCAAGACTCAGCCTCGCCTACATCCCTCACGAACTGCGCATGCAGCAGGCTGGCTTCCAGCCGCTTCCTTCGCGCGTCGCACAAGTCCCGAATTCTCACGCGTCTTTGCACCACTTCGTTCAGTCGCCTGGCGATCGTCGGCGAGTCAAAGTGATTCTGCGCCAGCAGCTTGTCCCCGTGCTCTTGCAGAGCCGTCAGCTTCTCCTCGTGCGTGACCAGCAGCTTCTCGAATTCGTTGTGCTTTTTCACCTGCGCGTCCACCTCCTCGACCGAAACCCCAAAGTTGTCGCCGCTCAGCGCAGCCTCCTGAGTGCTGGACAGATTGTCCAGCTGCTTGGCGTCTCGCAGGAAGAAGTGCAGGTCGATCAGCTGGTCCAAGTGCACTTTCTTCTGCTGCCAAGCTGTGTGCAGCTTTTGTCGCTCGTCCAACAATTGATTGCACTTTTCTTCGACCTCCTGTGTGAAACGGATCATTGGCAGTGTTGCATGCGTGGGACACCGAAACACTGCGTAGACAAATCAACTTACCGCAGCGGCGTAGTGACCGGTCTGCACCATCGCTTCCCCGAGATCGAGCACCGAGCTGAAACTGTCTTCTCTCGCCTCGATTTCCCCCTTCAAAGCCTCATGCTCCGCCTTCAAGATCTGCGCGCTGGCCGCATCTCGGACCTTTTCCTCCGTCGACATCGTAGCGCGCAGTCCCGCGGCCCAATTCATCAAGTCTCTGACCTGAGTGTTAGTTTAAGACGCACGAGGAATTCAAAGACAAAGTTACAGACGCATCAACGTTGAGAGCGAGAAATAAGATCCGATACCTGAGTGAGGAATCGTTGCAGATCGCAGCTAGCCTGCAACTGATCTCTCCGATGAGCAGACCTTTCCTTCAGCTCCTCCCAGTGATCCACGACGATATGTTGTTGTTGTTGGATGTGCACCGCGTTGTTGCCGGGGTAATGAGCTTGTAATCTGGACGCGTCCTCCACTAAGACCTGCAGTTGAGCCTCCAGAGCGACGAGATCATTCTCGAATCCCTCGTGTCGTCTGATCAACGCCAGGACAGAATTCAAGTCGCGACCCAGGTCTTCCGGCAATGCAGCCTCCTTCTCTTGTATCCGTGATAGCGCATCCGCCACGTCGCGATGGAACCGGTGAATCTCGCCCGCCGCTTGTAGCCGCTGCTCGCGGTTTCGGATGAGACCCAGTAGATGTTGCCATGATTCCCTGATGAAAGAAAGTAGTAGGTGATAGTCTTATTAGTTTAACTAATAATTATCCCGGGAATCCAAGTCTCACGGGAAGACTTCGATTCTAAGCGTCTCATCAACATTATGAAGCTTCGGCAAACTTAAAGTAAAAGTAAAGAAGAATTCAGAATCCAAAAGTAGCAAGTTTTAAAAAGTGAAAGAGCCGTGCGTAAAAGTGCGGTAAATAAGCTTGAAATGGTGACGCAACTAAATCTGCGTACAACTTAGCAGCGTGTGCGTATGAATTAGTATCGAGTAATCAAACGTATACTCACTGCGTTATCGCGTGTCGCTTTCGTACTTGAAGCACCGGATCGTCTTCATCGTGTCTGTGTCGAATATGCAGAAAGAATGTTAGTGTCCCAACACCGAGAGAAGAAAAGTGGAGATTTGTATATACGGAAAGTACAAAAAAATCCGGTTTGATCTTTCCCATCCCTCGACTACAGCGATCACTTTGCTAACGAATAACAACTGTTCAGTGCTCCCATTGACGAGTGCGACAAAGTCAGATCAAACCGAACTTCTTTCCACCGGTCCACCGGTGTGTGGTAACTTCCTGCATCATTGTATTAATTTTCACCCACTACACCATCCCATTAATCTACGTGCACTACGTGCAAGTGAGCGGGGTACTAGTGTCCTGCAAAGACCGCAGGGATATTCGACTATGAATAGCGAAGATAATGATAGAGGAAGAGAATCTCTCGCCGACCATTCGTCAGCCGTGGCCATTTACCCCAATTGCTCTTGGCGTTTCTCGATGTCCTGAATGTAAGGACTCTCATTCGCGATGAGCTTCCTAGCCAGCTCCTCGCACTGGTTGAATCTCTCGGAGCCAGCCTCTATGCGATGCTTGAAGTCGTTGAACTTCGCTTGCAATATCAGCAGGTGCTCATAATCCTGCCCGTAGTCCTCCGATGCGGCCGCCAGCTCTTGCTCCTTGATCCATTGCTCCAGTTCCCTGCTCTCCAGGAAGTACTCGTGGCGATACATGCTCTCCATTAGACGCTGTTGCCTCACGGTGGCCAACCGTTGTAGGGCGCGCATCTGTTGGACGATCGCTTGCTGCTTGTTCGCTATCGCCTTGCTGTCGGGGTGCTTCGAGTTTATCATCGTGGCAGCGGTGTGTCCCATCTCCGTCACGATGCCGTTGTACGTATCCAATTCGAGTTCCACAGCCTGTGAATGATAAGAAAGGAAGAACTAAATTCCTCCTCTGGACCGACGAGATTCCGTCTTTCGTTTTCCTTCCCCTGTCGATTAGCAAGAGTATTTTCCTTCGTTTCGTCAGAGTACACGTAGAAGTACCTTGTGCTTCGTCAAGAGTTTCGTCGCGGCGTCACGGTCTCTACCATAGTCGGTGGAGCTCAGCACGTCGTTCTTCTCGTTGAGCCAGCTCTCGACCTCGCCAGCCTCGAAGAAGAATTCTTGCGCCTTCAAGGACAAGTCCAACGCTTTGCTACGGTCTGCTGCCCTATCTTGTAGGTCCGTCCACGCCTCATCCAGAACATCGCAGAGTTCTTGGATCTGGTCAAATCATACGCGACCAATTACTTACTGCCTTCTCGTAGCACAATGTCTTACATTAATGATTAATCTCAACGACACTGACGCTGACGCTGCCTTCGAAAGCTCAGTCGTTCGATGTCGGCAGTGATGCTGACACTGCCCAGAGTACCGTTGCTGTGACAAAGGTATCAGCTTACGTCTTGCATGCAACAACATTTAGGCTACACACCTTCTACACACCTCGCGCGACTCCTGACGCTTATCGATCGAGATACTTGAACGGAAATTAAAAAGCTTGTTGCGCAACTAAAATTGTACGACTCATGTATTAGTGATCTTACACTCTTACAACTTGAAAGACACGAGCTACAAAACGTGTGTGGGTGAATCTTTAATAAATGGATTATATTTAAGGTACTCGCTCAGTTGGTATGCCTGTGTGAAACAATGAGAACACTTTGATATGAAACGAATCTCGAATACGCAGAAACGTCTCTCGTCGGACCTTCGTTAAACTTCAAGGCTGAAAGGGAATTCTGTTGAAATTTTATCGCGTAAGGCTGCGTTGTTTGGCAACGTAAGCATTTACATGAAATATCGGGGGGTTTCTGCGTCTCAAGAGCCAACAAAGTACACACATGGGTAGTCTCTGTGAAAAAAAGAAAAACAAAAGAACGCTACAGCCTCTCCGTTAACCCTATAAAAATAATTCCTTGTTAATTACGTGAGGTCGCTAACGTATATAATCAAGAGAGAGAAAAGCAATAGGCACTTTTGGCAACATTTTCCATGCACGTCTGTGTCCACCTTACCTCCGTAGACCCATTGCTCTTCGGAACGCTCCAGCTGTGCAAAAATCATAATTTCTTACTCCAGTCTCGCGTGAGAGCTGATCGTCGTTGTGTGAGTTGACGATAAAAAAAGAGACCGATCATTTTCGGTGAAAGGGCTCTCTCTCTCTCGCGATTTACCTTCTTTCTCTCTGGATGAGCCTGATCGATGAGCATCTGGCCAGAAGCCAGAGTCTTATCTATCATGGGTTGGTGGCCGGCGATCTCCGCCTCCAGCTTCTTGTGCTTCTTGTGCAAGGTCTGCGCCTGGTGCAGGTTCTGCCCAAGAGTCGTCGAGGATACTTGCGGCAAGTGGTCCTTGATCCACTGCAGCTCCGCATCCAGCTCGAATCCGAACTTGTGGAATCGCAGGCTCTCCTCCAGCGCTTCCCGTCGTCTTTTGGCCGGCTCCTTCAGACTACGGAATCTGCGAAGTGCATGGAAAATTTTACGATTAAGTCGGCCATTTTTAGCTCAAACGCCAACGGATCGTCGGTTTCAACGTACTTCCTTTGCGTAGCTTGGCTACTCTTCAGGATGTTCGCTGCGTCAAAGTGACCCTCATGCGCCATCTCTTGACCCATGGCCACGAGGTCGTCCACCTTCTGCTCCCATTGGCACATGTCACTCTCAAGGGTCTGGTGTTTCTTCAGCAACTCCTTGCAGCTGCGCAGATCCGCGCCGACCTGCTTGCTCTGCAGACAGTTCTCGATTTCTTCCAGCTTCAACCTGGCGTCTTCCATGGTGCGATTGTAGCCGTGTTGTGAGGCGGCTTGCCGTAGTCTGCGACCTTTCTCCAGCGACAATGCCACTAGTTGGTCCCACTGGTTATTCAGGTCCTTCAGCGTCTCCCCGACGTCGTCCGATCTGTAATTCTCCTCGGATATTAGCGCCTTGCCGGCCTTGTTGACCGCTCGCAGTTGTCCTTCGTTAGCACGCAGTTCCCGTTCAAAAGCCTCGTGCTTCTGCAGCTTGCGCTCGAGGTTGTTCAAATCGCGGTAACTTTCGTCGGCCGCGGTCTTCATCTTGTCACCCAACCAGTCGCGCAGGTCATCCACTTCGGCTGAGAACTGCTGGTAATGCTCGGACGCCTTCAAGGCTGCTCTTCGCTGCTGAGCGGCGTCTTTCACCGCCATGCGACGCGCTAGTACTTGGTTCCTTCTCTCGTTGATGCTGGATACAAATTATATTCGTATAGCTATAGCTCATGCGAAATCGAATCTTTTCAACATGTCAAAGTAAAGCACTACAGTTACGGTGAGCGGAAATTCTAAACAAACGCGAATTTAATCTCCCCTCGTACTTACTAATCTTTGTCATAGTGATCTTGGCCGATCAGTTTGTCGGCAGTGTCGCTGAACGCCTTCAGTCGATCATCTTGCGCGTGCAGAGTGTTCTCAAACTTGCCATGCTGCTTTAATAACGCCTCTACGTCGTCCAGAGACTCCCCCAAGTCGGTGAACTCGAGGAAAGCCTCGTGAGAGCTGGTAGTGGCTTCGATCTGATCTGCCTCCCGGTTAAATTGCTGCAGCTCCAAACACTGTCGCAGCCACTCTTCCTTGGCCATCCAGTCGGACGTCACAGCTGGGTACAATCCGTTTAGTTTTTCCAGGCGTTCGCGTACGTCCGCCAAGCTCGGGTTGCGACGCAACAATTGGTTGCCGAGGTCCTCGACTTCGCGGAACCTGCAAGTGCAGCAACAATTACAAACTGATGAATAGTTTCATATTGAGGTTCTCAAATATCTTCGCATGAGCTTTCGATCGACCTAAACTGATCAACTTAGTGATTAAATTGGTTAATTCTATTACTACTGTCGGTAGGTTATCGATATCCGAGGAAGGTGTTTTTCATCCGTTGTACGAAAGTTTTCTAGAATCTGTCGAGAGTAATCTCAATTTTTCAAGAACAATATCGCGAGGTGATGATGTAAATACGCACTCGTCTTCTTTGGTACGTATTTCTTCTCCGAGTTCCATGTGCTGCTTCTTGAGCTGCTCGGCTGTAGCAACGTCTCTCACTGGCTCCTCGGCCTTCATCGTCTCCTGTATGTCCGTGGCCCAGTTGATCAGATTCTTGGAACTGTTCATGAATATCTGTTGACCGACCGCATCCTCCAAACGGGATCTTCGCTCTTTGGCCTTCGTCTGGACTTTGTTCCAAAGCTCCTTGATCTCATTTTGCCTCGCGTTGACGTTATTCAGTTCGTGTGGGTACGAATTCTTCACGCTGTTCGCCAACAAGTCCACTTTTCGCACCTATAAAAATGGAGTTAGGGTGTTATCTGGTTTTCATTTACTTGCGCCATGAAGACGAGTGGTGATTACTTACTTTCTCCTCGACTGGCGCCAGTTCTCGCTCTAGATGCTGATGCCTCCTCTGCAAAGCCTGGACAGTCTTCAAGTCAGGTCCTAACTCGGCCGTGTCCAACTGGGTGATCTTCTCTAGCATCCAGTCGTGAGCCTCGTCGCAAGTCCTATTGAACAGCTCAACGCTGGACGCACCCTCCAAGCTTTTCTCCTTCTGCGTCTTCAGCCAGTTCAGGTGGTCCCACAGCTGGTGAATGTGCTTCTGCCTGGCCTTGACTTTGTCCAGCTGGCTGTGACCTTGACGAACGAATTCGTCCACCGCAGTGTCGATAGCTTCCACTCGTTTGCCAGACGCCGACAGATCTGTGAGGAACTTCTCGTACTTTCTTCTCGCCGTTTCGACATTGTCGCGAGGATCGTCGACTCTCAGCATCTTCTCTTTATCCTTGATCCACTTCTCGAAATCGTCGCACTCCCGGTAGAAGCCGTAAAGCCTGATAGCGTCCTCCAGTAGCGCGTGACGCTTCACGGCGAGTTCCTGCAGCTCGCCGTAGGTGTCGTTGATCTTCTTCTGTCGCTTCTCAACGCTATCGCCGTCGCTCACAGTCTTCCGCTTGATCGGCTTCACGGTGGACTTGATGGACTTGAGCCGCCGAACCGGCACTACCTGTTTCACCATCTTCGTTTTCTTCACGCGCTGAGTCACCTTCACCTTCTCGGGCCTTCGCACCTGCACCTGCACGACCTTCGGCTCGATCTCGCGGACATAGTTGGCCGGCACGAATCCGTCCGTACCATCGGCCTTTCTCACGCTCCACCAATCGGGGTTAGTTTTGCTCATCAGGAACATTACCTCACCCTTTGCCATGTGCATACCTTGGCCGTTGAATGGATATAGACTCTTCACCTGTGGCACCAACCTGTCCTCGTGAACGGTCCTCGGTTCCAGTCGCTCGACCACCTCGTCCACCCACTCGTCTTGCGGCACCAACCTGATTTCCTTGCTCCACTCTTCCTGCTCGAGCTCGGCGACCGGTTCCGGATCGGCTGATAGCTCCAGAGTGGAAATTCCGGATTTGATGAGCTTCTCCGCCTGCGCGTTCAGCGACTGCACGTCGCCTTTGTAGGCATTCAGCTCACCCTCCAAGTCCTTGTGCCTCTGCAACAAGGCTTGAGCGCTCGGCTCGTCCACCCCGTAGTCCTCCGAGGCCACTAGCGTCATCTTCTCGTTCATCCACGAATCGGCCTCGTTTGCGTCGGCATAAAATTGAAACGTTTCGGCTGCGTCGTCCAGCTGCTTCTTCCTCAACGCCGCCAGCTCCTCCAACACCCTCCAGTGCTCCTGCAGTGAATCTATTCGGTTCTGTATCTCCAGCGCCGACGGATGATTGTCGGCGATCAGCTTCCTGCCGGCGTCGCAGAGCTGCTCAGATTTGGGCCTGCGTACTTTCATCTCGTCCTGAAGAGCCTTGTGCTTCTGCTGCAGCGAAATCACCGCTCGCAGGTCCTTCGCTGATATGCCGGCCTTGCAGATCCGTTGCTTCTCCACCAACCACGACTCTTCATCCTCGTGGTCTTGAAGGAAGTGGAAGAAGTTTCGGGCGTCTTCCAGGCGAGCCTTGCGTTCTTTGCTGTTCTCCAGCAACTCGTCATAGGCGCTGTTTAGCAGCTCCAGCTTTTGCTGCAACATCGGTGCCTCTTTACTCTGCGGTTGCGCGAGGTGTTGAGTGGCCTGTCTGCCGAGTCTTCTCTGACTCTCGCCCAGGGCTGTCACCTGCAACTCCTGCAGGCTGTGCTTCTGCAGCAGGTCCTCCACTCCCAGCAGGTGCGGGCCCACATCGGTGCTCTGGAAGTTCAGTTGCAGCTCTTGAATCGAGGCCAATGTCGTCTCGATCTCTCGCATCAGGCTCATCAGCGAGCACAGGGCGACCAGGTTGGACTTGTGATGATCCAACAGGGCCAGCAGCTCCTTCCATCTCTGCAACACCTCCTGCTCCCTACTGCGGACTCTCTCTAAGCCGTGGTAATTTTCACGGACCAACTCTTCGGACATGTTCGTCAGGTCGTGGAAACGCTCCTCACGTGCCAAGATGTCGGCGCTGATGGCCTCGTGCTTCTTCACTGTGGCGTCCACCTGCGCCAAGTTGCTGCCGTACCTCGGGTCGGTCAGCACCTGGATCATTTCCTTCAGGTAGCCCTCCCTGAGCACGCTCTTCCGCTCGAACTTGTAGTTGAGCTGTTCGAGCCTCTCTTGCCGCAGCAGCTCGGTCCTCAGGGCGACCTCGCGACGGTGCTCAGCCCTCTCCAGCTCCACCCAGTTCCTCTCTATGTCGTGGATCAGCTGTCCCTCCTGTGGAGTGAACGCCGGCTGGTTCAGGGACTTGAGCTGAGTGTTTATGTGAAAGTACAGCGCCTCTATCTCTGATCGCTCCTTGTACTTTGGCGGTTTCTCCACCGTCCGGTACTGCTTGAAGGCCAGCAGCTCCCGTTGGATACCCTCCAGCGAGTTCGGGAAGCTACGGCTCTCGAGCACCTCGATCTTCATCTTGATCCATTCCAGCAGGTCGGTCGTCAGCTTCTCGTAGTGGATCTTCATCTTGTCAGCATCCATCATCTGGCCGACGATCTGTGAATACGAATTAACGCGCGTTTAAGTCAAGCTAGTCTGAATGTATCGTACAGACGATGGATGATAATCGGTCGAGCGACCGTACGTACATTCGCTATTCTCTTGCCGCTCTTTATCTCGTTCTTCATTCTGGCGAACGTGTGATAGTAGGACGCGACATAAGTGATGATCGACTTCTCGTCCGGCCTGGCGGTATCCACGTCTTCGGCGTCCAGCAGCCGCGGTATGCCGAGTTCCGAATTAGCGACGTCGAAGGCATAATTGAGGTTATCGATGTTCCTGTTCTGCTGCAATTCCGACCAATTGACCAAGTCCGGCCTGTGGGCGTGTATGAGAGCGTTGAAGCCGAGGCCGCTTCTCCAAGACCCTATTGGCGAAGAGAAAGAAAGAAAAGAACGGATATTTTAAACTCTTCTTGCGTCTCGCCGCGTGTGCTTTATGACTTTCTCTAAAGGATGTACTGGATGCCTGATAGGATAGATTAGGTTAAGCAAGAAATTTTCGGTCGTTAATTAAACAATATTTGTGCGATGTATCAATTGGTTTTGACTAATAACTCGGAATTTTACGTGTTTTTTTTTTTTAATGTTCATTTCGTTTCACTTAACCTACAAGCGCAAGTTTAGCTAGAAATCTTTTTTTGATTAATAACTCAAAATTTCAAGTGGTTGTTCACAAGACGGTGGAAGAGTTTTTTCTTCGGTGATCTATCCGTGCGCGAAAATTTTGTGCGTTATTATCGGACATCCTGTATATAGCTCTCTCTTAATTCGTAGACTACTGCCTGGTGGAGACGTGCGAATTTCTCGACGCAGGAATACCGTGAATGCAAGACCCATCACGCACGTTGAGTATTTTATGCGTTTATCCGTTTTTATTCATCTACCGTATTTTCCACGTCGCTATATCTACTATCTAATATTGGGCAGACAAAAAACTGCTTCGGACAAAAGTTGTTCAAATTAATCGGTAAAAAAAAGATGATATAATAAATTATATAATTGAGATTTCCATTTAAGAAAATTGCTGATCAGTGAATATCTCGAAAGTGGCGCCTTTTGTCTAAACAAATATCGCTGTTTTGTGTCCCCCTTCAAACCAAACAACTTTTGTCCGAAACATTTTTCTCTAAAATGCGTCGCGTTTTTTCGAAAAAAATCGGAGCGGTCGTAAACACTCTGTGTATAATGTCAAAAGTTTTCTTCGGGGCTTGCTGCGTGCATTTTTCGAACGACCGTCGCGGGAACTCGACTTACCGGTGAAGTCCTGGATATTAACGCCGGGATAGCCGTTCGTCTTCCTCTGACACCATAGCAGCAGGGCATCCTTAGCAGACTTCTTCTCGCTGCTGTCGTTCTCCTCGTCCACGTCGATCTCGATCTCCTGGATTTGGAATCGCAGGATGATGGTCCAGATGAGGCCGAGGATCAGTCTAGGATTGCCGTCCACGATATCCTCCGCGCCGATACTCTCCAAACGAACCTGAAAGCGAGAATTTCGAGGTCAGAGTGCTGGGAGATGCGCGGGGGGAATTAATCACGTTCGGTTTCCTGCGGAAACATTTTAGCGTCACCACACTTCGCACGCCCACGAGTCTCTCCTTAATATAGTTGAGTTAATATTTATAGTTCTCGTATATGCGATATAGTCCTTAGAAACATGTAATTTTATTATAGTCGATAGCCAAGTTGGTGTGTCTACAGTCCGTTCACGCTTTTCACTTCGCTCATGTGTTGCTCCTTCTCTCCTCTCTGAAACACCTCTAACATTTCCAGGTTTCGCCACCTTGGGACCTTGTCATTCCAGTGTGCCGCGCGGTGTGTACGATCTCGCAAGTTGCTTCGCAGGACTCATCGGTCGGTGAGTGAATAATGCGCCTGTGTAATTTATGCGACAGGTATCGGTACGCGCCATTCGCATGATTATTCGCATTCCGACCTGCTGCACGTCCAAGCGCGAGCGCGCGATGCGGTGAATGCAGGTTACGTAAATAACAGGTCTTAAGAACGCGCGAGTAATTTTGTAATAATAGGAAAAGTGCGCAGCGCGTGGCTTGCCGAACGCCAAGCGCAGCGGATGTCGAGCAGTGCTTGAGCGATTGAAAAATCTCGCTCGACTGAATAATCGGCGAGTCGGCGATCAAAATCGACCGACCGTAGACGGCATATCATTATTCCGTTGTTTTTATTTTGTAATTAAATATGTTTACCGAGGAAAAAAAATCTTTCTCTCACACGGGAAAGAAACTTTTTATTTTTTTCATTTAAGCATCTTTCCAGCGCGCGGGACGATTTCACCAGGGTTGGGAAAGTTACTTTGTAAAAACATCCAGTTACAGTTTTCTTCACTGAAAAAGTAACCGGTTACAGTTGCAAGTTATTGACTTTCAAAAATAACATGTTACAATTATAGTTATTTAGAAAGTAACGAGTCGTCACTTTTCAGTTACTTTTTCACAATAATTGTGCTATTATTTTAAATTTCGTAATTGTGCAAATTCCTTCAATTTTATATAAAAGTGGTCTCTTGATTATTATATTTTTCATATTGTATATAATTTTTACAAATTAGATTCATTAATTTAAACAAGCAATTCATATTTATTCTTTAAGACTATTAATAACAATTATAAGAAAGTGAATGAATTTGATGGGATCAATAAATACTAAAAATATTAAAAATAATCTTAACATCAGAAATTAGATTCTTTCACTAAAAAATATATTGATATTTTATAAATAAAGACTTACACTCATATGTTTTCTTAAATTTGCAGCTGAAGTTCTACTTGCACGAATAATATTTTTGTCAGCGCAAGTTTTGCAGAGAAATGCCAAGTTGTTCTCGTTTCCAAATTTTTACTGCAACTCGAATATTTCTACATATGCTGGCCATGGCATTTTACAATCCTTCTCCGAAGATTAAGATATTTTATCTATTGTTTGAATTTTCTATATAACTGAAACCACACAGTGCACTTCACGCTGAATACAGGTTATGTTAACAAATAAGAACTGACGACGCGCGACGGAAAAGTCCAATAGGCGTACAATTTTTTTGAAAGAAATAGCAGGTTGCGTTCGGAGAGGAGACTGTATCAGCCCTATTACGTCATTTTATCCTTGTTTTACATCTAATGAACGATAAATATAGATGACGCAATAGCGCGTTTCCCAAATGCAGCCAGAATAACGGTATGCTTATTGGATATCAAGCATCGCATGTCGCGTTATCGTGCTGGTCCGCCAGGAACTTAAGTCTGAAATATATAAAGTAACTATTAAAGTTACTAGTTTTCTATTCTCCCTCGCCAGCTTTCGCCAGGTGAGAAAGGCAACAAGCCGTCTTTGAAATCACCCCCACCTTTTTACCACCAAAACTTTTGCACTCACCCGACACATAATTATACAGAGAGACAAAATTCATCACACACACATGGATCGTACATAATAATATATAATTTGTACATAATCACGTATATATGTTTTTATATAATTATATCTTCGATCGGCAACTGTAATCTAAGCGTCCGATAATACGCTGTCGTTATTATTACACGTGATTGTCGTTATTATTGTCGCGTGTAATTTTACGACTTGCTCGTCGTCCATTCGGATCATTCCGGCCGGCCGACCGGAAATATTTCGATCGATCAACCAGCCCCAGCCCGATCGAGAGCGGCAGATTTCCTCGCTTTTGCCGCGGCACCGGTCATTACGATCGCGCGCGGCGTGCATCTCGGTGAACCGCGAATGACCGGTCCGTGCGCAGGAGAGACCGTTGCACGAGAGAGCGCGGTGTGTAAATTCGAGCCGCGGTGTATTCGGTAATTGGGTGTTATTGCGCTCGGCCCGCGCGGGGACGAGTACAAACAACCGAATACCGCGAGCGAGCGCGCGGGGAATCCTGTTAATTTGACTTAAGTCACAGAGCGCGACACGCACGAAATTTATCTCGGTCCATTAATTCTCCCGTGGCCCGGCCCGCAAAAGGGCCATCGATGTGGCGGAAGTAATTATGCGACCGCACCCCGGCGGGTAATGAATTACGGCCGCCGATGTATTTAATAATCGCATTTTATTCCGCGAGATCGCAGGGGAGGACGAGGAGGGTGCGGGCGTGGCGGGCGGAGAGAAGAGAATTTTTTCGGTCCCTCTCCTCCTCTCCTCCCGCTTGCCGGAGGAGTTTTACATGCGCGTATCGCGATTATTCGCGAGTCATAAAGCGACCGCGCGGTGTCCCCGACGTAACGTAATATATTCGTCGTAACCTGCGAAGCGACGGATGTCGCGCCGGAGTGAAATCCAATTCTCGTGGGCGCGGAAGCGAAGAGGAGTTCTCGAGGATGAGAGCGCAAAGCTGATTGACCGTGTACTCGCGAGCCGACGCCGTATTGTGGAGGAATCAGGAAGCGAGTTGCGAGTATCGCAGCTGCCGAGATACGAAATTGTGGCCAGCCCCTGGAGAGAAAGCTTCAAAATCCAAGATGGCGGCTGTAACACAGCCGACCAAAGATTGAAAAAAATTGGCGGAAACGCGAAGCTGCGTTTTTATTTCTGCGGTTGGGCATTCAGAGGCTCTCGAGCTCGCCCTATTCAACGGAGAGAGCTTCAAGATCCAAAATGGCGGCTGTAACATGGCCGACCAAAAGTTGAAAAGAATGCAGAAGTTTTACTTTGGAACAATAACCAGCTGGCGTACAGAGAGACAAACTCTTTAAATCGGCAGAATTTTATCCTAATAACCTTCACGGGCATCATATTGGACCCGCCATCTTTAAATTATTGCAGTCTCGACCGTCAATTCGCAACTAACAACTCTAACAACTAATGGAAGAGTACGTTCTTTAAATCCGCAGAATTTTATCGCAATAACTTTCATCGACACCACATTGTACCGCCAACTTTAAATTGGCAATCTCGACCGCTAATTCGCAACTGACAACTCCAAAATACGCCGGATATCAGATACCCGATCTTGTCCTGCTGAAATAAAATTCTTATATCGCGTTCGCGCCGTATCGGGTCCACTATTTTGTAACTGAAAACTTTGGGCTTTATATTCGTAAAGAGTGACCTCAGGAAGGCCCGAGATACAACACCTTAATGGCAGGGTGCTTGACTTTTGAAGAACCATGTTTTGCCAGCTGAAACGCTTGCGAAAGTCAGCCTGCCAGTCGAGGAGTTAACTGGACTACTCGTCTACAGGGTCGGGAGAGGCGATCGTGAATCTCCTGGTGTCCAGCAAAATTACAGCCCGCGCGCGCGCGGAACCGCCGACGGCAACAAGCCGCTGCGTGTCACTGCATTACAGTTTATTCGGTCGTAACAGGGTCTTATTGATAACGCAACATTTGTTACTGGCGATCGGCCGCCGCCGCCGCCACTGCTGCCAGTCGCTATTAATAATCACTTGTCGATGGTGAAAGTACCGTGTTAGATCATCGGCCGTCCGAGGTGTTACCGTTTCGTCGAGCTGCGTACGCACACTTCCTCGCCGATGGCCGATGCGTTTTTAACGCGCGTCTTAACGACCGGGAACGTGAGCTCTGACGATATAATTGCGGGGGTTGTGCGTGGGAAACGTGCGTGGAAGTGAAGCGCTCCATCGAGCGCTTCCTGCTCCTCGAAAAGGTCTGCTCTTTTTTTCTACGGCTAGACCTCGGTGTCAGAAGTCACCGGGAAGTGGGGAACGCGTGATCAGGTCTCAGGGTGCTCAGGATAGCTCGGAAATGTCTGCGTTCTCTTCGGCCGAGCTCGAGTGAGCTTCGCGTTGATGAAGCCTTCGATATGAAAAGCGGGTTTCCGCTCACCGGGGAGTTTCTAAATCGAGACTTAATGAATTCTGAAGCAAACTCTTGCGTTGATGAAGCTATCGTTGAACAACAAACGCACCTTGTGTAACCAACCGCTAGTCGTTCGGCCGCTAACAGGGAAGCATATTAAAAGCGTCTCTCATCAACTCCAACAGACTTGAAGATACATTTCTTCTGTGTGCTTTATCACTTAGGGATACTTTAAGGAATAAAAATCCAATGAACTTCATCGCGAAGTAGGAATGAATTTCGGAGAAATTTCGCCGTGAGCGAATCTTTGAATATCTACATTCCTCAGAAAAACGACACTTATAAAAAAAAATACCCTGAACCCTCGTGTGACACTTTCGAAGAGTCCCGCATGCGCGCAGAATCGGCAAGGACGCTCCCCGAGGGGGCAAAGCAGGCCGGCCCTGCTTGATTCCGAGCCGGCCAGCCGTCAATTCGCTCACGTTTGACGATATTAGCCGGCGAGTATCGACGGGATCGGCGGGATTCTGCTCGCGCTTCTCGCCGCGTTATTATAGTTAATCGCGGCGCTGCCGCGCTGCTGGAATGCCGTCCGATCACTTGTGCCGGTCTATCAAGGCCGCTGGGAAATGGAAATGACGGCGTTTGCCGGGGCGGTTGACAGTCCCGCGGAATCCAAAACAAAGAGGACGCTTAG